TGGTTGTTGCCAGGATCATCGTAGTTGAGTTGATGTTGGTGTTGGTTGTTGCCAGGATCATCGTAGTTGATTGTTGCAGTTGATGTTGGTGTTGGTTGTGCCAGGATCCAGGATCATCATGCAGTTGATGTTGGTGTTGGTTGTGCCAGGATCATCGAGTTGATTGGCAGTTGATGTTGGTGTTGGTTGTTGCCAGGATCATCGTTGATGTTGGTGTTGGTTGTTGCCAGATCATCGATGCTGATGTTGGTGTTGGTTGTTGCCGGGATCATCGTAGATTGTTATAGTTGATGTTGGTGTTGGTTGTTGCCGGGATCATCGTAGTTGATTATTGCAGTTGATGTTGGTGTTGGTTGTTGCCGGGATCATCGGATGATTGTTGTAGTTGATGTTGGTGTTGGTTGCTGCCAGGATCATCGTAGTTGATTGTTGTAGTTGATGTTGGTGTTGGTTGTTGCCAGGATCATCGTAGTTGATTGCAGTTGATGTTGGTTGGTTGTTGCCAGGATCATCGTAGTTGATTGTTGTAGTTGATGTTGGTGTTGGTTGTTGCCAGGATCATCGTAGTTGATTGGTTGTTGCCAGGATCATCAGTTGATGTTGGTGTTGGTTGTTGCCAGGATCATCGTAGTTGATTGTTGCAGTTGATGGTGTTGGTTGTTGCCAGGATCATCGTAGTTGATTGTTGTTGATGTTGGTGTTGGTTGTTGCCAGGATCATCGTAGTTGATTGTTGGATGTTGGTGTTGGTTGTTGCCAGGATCATCGTAGTTGATTGTTGTAGTTGATGTTGGTGTTGGTTGCTGCCAGGATCATCGTAGTTGATTGTTGTAGTTGATGCTGGTGTTGGTTGGTTGTTGCCAGGATCATCGTAGTTGATTATTGCAGTTGATGCTGGTGTTGGTTGTTGCCAGGATCATCGTAGTTGATTGATCATGTAGTTGATGTTGGTGTTGGTTGTTGCCAGGATCATCGTAGTTGATGTTGGTGTTGGTTGTTGCCAGGATCATCGTAGTTGATTGTTGTAGTTGATGTTGGTGTTGGTTGCCGCCAGGATCATCGTAGTTGATGTTGGTGCTGGTTGTTGCCAGGATCATCGTAGTTGATTGTTGTAGTTGATGTTGGTGTTGGTTGTTGCCAGATGATCGCTGGTGGATCAGGATCATCGTAGCGATTATTTGCAGTTGATGTTGGTGTTGGTTGTTGCCAGGATCATCGTAGCGATTGTTTGATGATGTTGGTGTTGGTTGTTGCCAGGATCATCGTAGTTGATGTTGGTGTTGGTTGTTGCCAGGATCATCGTAGTTGATGTTGGTGTTGGTTGTTGCCAGGATCATCGTAGTTGATTGTTGCAGTTGATGTTGGTGTTGGTTGTTGCCAGGATCATCGTAGTTGATTGTTGCAGTTGATGTTGGTGTTGGTTGTTGCCAGGATCATCGTAGTTGATTGTTGCAGTTGATGTTGGTGTTGGTTGTTGCCAGGATCATCGTAGTTGATGTTGGTTGCTGGTTGTTGCCAGGATCATCGTGGTTGATGTTGGTGTTGGTTGTTGCCAGGATCATCGTAGTTGATTGTTGTAGTTGATGTGGTGTTGGTTGTTGCCAGGATCGTAGTTGATTGTTGCAGTTGATGTTGGTGTTGGTTGTTGCCAGGATCATCGTAGTTGATTGTTGTAGTTGATGTTGGTGTTGGTTGTTGCCAGGATCATCGTAGTTGATGTTGGTGTTGGTTGTTGCCAGGATCATCGTAGTTGATTGTTGTAGTTGATGTTGGTGTTGGTTGTTGCCAGGATCATCGTAGTTGATGTTGGTGTTGGTTGTTGCCAGGATCATCGTAGTTGATTGTTGTAGTTGATGTTGGTGTTGGTTGTTGCCAGGATCATCGTAGTTGATGTTGATGTTGGTTGTTGCCAGGATCATCGTAGTTGATTGTTGCAGTTGATGTTGGTCTCGACCGGGATGCCAACTTGACGTGTTGGGAAGGAAAGAAGAGCTGGCGTTGTTCGGGCATGTCACAGGTCCAGTGCAGGCGTTGCGTGTTGTCAGTCGAGTCCGATATTAGTAACCTCCCGTATTAATTACTAACATAGTGTACGGGAAAGGTTAAGGACGACGCAGGCAGCCAGTAGGGACGGAATGCGGTTGATAGTCAAACAGGAGCCAGGGAGTAGTAGGCGAAGAGAGAGAGAGAAAGGAAAGTTTCCAACTATCGTCAAGTTGGCAGACAAAAAAAATGGGAGCGTAACTTAATACACAGCCCGTTGATCGACGTCCCTGGCCAACGAAGGCCAGGGGCCTGCGTATCCGACCGTTTCAGTAGCCGACCCGGATTTAGTGAGAAGCCACTGTCTTGTGATAAGGGAGTCTAGCAAGATAAGCTAACAGTAAAGTCTCTATAATAAAATACGACGAGGTTAGCTAAAGGGAACTAAGGCCTAAAAATATCTAGAAGTATATTACAACAAGGTTTGTAATATAACAACTAAAAAGGGGACTTGCTAGTCTCTCCAACAGGTTAACAGTGTATAGGGGGCACAAACGAGAGGTCAAGGTCGAAATGACCTGTTCCTCTGCCGGTTTAAGGATCGAAGGAGGAGGTAACTCCAACAGAAGTATGTATTTTTTGGTAAAGGGAAAAGACAAAATTTACTAAGAGCTACAAAGGACAGAAAATTGTGGAGAGCTATGATCGCCCACGTCCTGAAGGGACGCCGCAAATAGAAGAGCCATCATGTCTGAGGACATTGCATGTGGTCTGACCTGAAGAGGGATCGGCTTCGCCAGATCTAAATACTTTGCCCAAGACACACTCCGCTCGGTCGTGGTAGTGATGATGATGATGATGATGATTAAATAACTAGAACATTCAAAAGTGCTGTAAATGTTGGACGTTATCAGATAAAAATATAGTTAAATTTGCTATTTAACGCCCGCGCTAAATATCTCTTAAAATTTTCCCAAATCGTCATAATTCCGTATAAATGTACATGCTGAACTAGAATTAACAATTAAATTGTGAATAAAACCTACCATTTTGGAGTTATCATTAAAAAAAAATCGGACTTTTGTTGGTCATTCGTCCACCATTACTGCCATAATGTACGGTAATTTAGTGCGGGATACATATATCGGCGAAAGCAGAAATTTTGGCCTATTTACTTCTTTCACAGACTTTAGAGAAAACAAAAAAAACGTTTCCAAAATAATGCTGTCCTTAAATTCACGTATGAACTCAATACTAATAATAAAATTCCCTTCCTTGTCATATTGATAAACACAAATAATAACAAATTTACTATTTCGCCATACAAGAAACCTGCAAGCATAAATTCATGTACACTTAACTACAAGAACGAATGCCCATATTACTACAAAATAGCAATCATAAAGAATCTAATTACATCGTGCAGAAACTAATTCATCCACAAAACAGATTTTTACAGTGAACTAAAGAATATAAAACAAACACTTATTAATAATAGCTTTCCAAACTATATAGTTGATGAACAAATAAGATGCTTTCTTAGAAATCTCAATACTATGCAAATAGTACATAATACTGCTTCTACTAAATCTCAAACATATTAATCGCTTATATCGTAATCAAATGCATAATAATTATAAACAAGATGAAAATATACTAAAAAATTTAGTAAATACTAATATATCTACAGCAGATCCTAGCAAAAAAATTAGGTTAATCATATACTACACTAAATCTAGTATATCCAACTTAATTACTCGCAATGATGCTTCTCCCCCGGTTAGCGATTTGCAAAAAACCAACATAGTTTACAAATTCAAGTGCCCTTTGGGAGATTGTATCTCCAACGAATTAAATAATATTTATGTTGGTCACACCACAAACTCGCTTTCACGACGCTTAACACATTTGAATGAAAACTCTAACATTTTTAGGCATTTAAAACAACATGCCTGGCCGCATACACAATTCCGTAAAATCCTTGTTGAAACACAATTATACTTAAATATGAAAACAATAAACAAAAACTGAAAATTCTTGAAGCTATATACATAAAACAGTTGAAACCTAACCTGAATAATAAACTATGAAATCTTCACAAATATTCTTAAATGTCTATAATTGGTAACAGAAGCCATTGGTTTATACCAACGGCTTCCCATACTTAATGTTTCTCGAATTCATTCTCGCGTGGTCATGTGTGACGTCATGAGCTGCGGTGCGATTTTCACTTCCAGCGTCTTATATGCACGTGTTTGTCGTTGCTTGGAAATCATCCATGTAAACAGAAACAGACTATCATCACATTCTTGTCCGTGTATCGCTTAATATATTGTACTATAATTGTCATCTTTGATAATGGCTTATGTAAGCCGAAAGCTTAGATTGGATTAAAAAAAACATGTATCAATATTGTGATTTTCTTTCTTCGTTTAATGTAATGTTATTAAGCTTATCAGACGATATGAAAAGAATTTACATAAAATAAATAGACAACACTTGACTATATTATTTAATGAAAAATGTATGAATATATATATATATATGTTAGGAAATTTATAATTATTTACTCAGAGTTATAACTCCCCTACATATCTCTTTCTGATATTCTTGTATTAGTTCGAACTATTTTTCTCATCATGGTTGAAATAAATGTTATTATAGACACAACGTTTCGACCAAGTATTCTTTCACCATCATTAGATGTCTATTGATTGATTTCGGGGCGTTGGCGTAGTGAATATATATGTGTTACTGTCATCTAGTGGTCATTAGTTCAATCCTTGGATCTGGTAGTGACGCACTAATTCGACAGGAACGAACAATATCTGATATTCCATATCAGCCAGATATCCCATATCAACCAGATATCACATATCAGCCAATCAATAGACACCTGATGATGACCGAAAGGTTGTATCTATAACAACATCAACCAAGATGAGAATAACAGTTCGGAATAATACAAGAATATTGACAATCACTCATCTCAGAATTGAAATTCCGAATATCTTTTTGATGTTAAGTATGTCGGGATCCGTCTACCCAGGTTTTTGTCGTTATCTGAGTGTCGGGATTCCAAAACTTAACAACAACAACAATACATCTTTGAAATGAAACATATAAAAGTTTATTTTCTGAAGGAAAAGTAGAAGCAGAACGTTAGTTGAAATAAAATTTATAGATTCTTTTCAGAAATATACAATGACAATAAAATGTTAAATTTTCCTTGTTGAGAAGTTTGTTTTATTAAATAATTAAGTGTTTATAGTGAAATGTATGAACAGACTTACTTTATGGCAATCAGCCGAATGTGTTTATGAGTTCATAGGCTTAGTTGGCAGCTGCTGGTTATTCCCTTCCATTGGGGGGTGCACACGTGTAGATCAAACTGGCCTCCGAAATTGTTTTGAGCCCCGAGAAGCAGTAGACATCTATTTTTATATCCATAAGGGGATACGAGAATCTAATTTCAACACAGATGTGAACTTTTTTGAATACAAGGTCTACATTAGTTAGAAAAAATTTCCCGCGAAAGTCTTTTTCTCGAATTTGCGGGAGTAGTGAAGGGAGTTATTATTTTCTAAATGGTCCAAAAGCAACACGTGGCAGGTTTACAACTACGTCCACATGTATTTTGGCGGTATTTGCCCTAATAATTATTGTTTATCCAACAAACTTTCTGATGAGATTTTATTGGTTGAAAAATATATATAGGATATAATTCCTATAAATATAAGTGTTCTTTTCGTTTCCATTTTCTCTAAAAATCCTCAATCTTTCAGCATTGTTTCACTCTAAAGATTGAATAAGTCTGGTAAGAAGACATACCCTTGTCTTATGACTTTTTCTATTTTTGTGTATTTACTGATTTCATTTTCTTTCTTTTTTATGATAAGCAAATATTTATTTGAACAAAGTATCTATAAAGAAAAAACAATTTTTTATTTTTTTTGCTATCCTCTGCCACCTGCAATGATGGAGAAAGCATTACCCTAGACCATCACCAGTGAGACACGCTGCAAGAGCCACTCCGTTTCGCGAGGCTCATCCTTTAATCGTGACGCCATCCCGCCAATCCTCCGAAGGAACGCCATCGAGCGAGAGCCAATAACACCAGAAGTTTCCGCTAGCACAGGAGTAAAACTAAATCTGTCCGCAAGAGAAGAATATTTAACAATTTTTTTTTTATCGCCGCGTCCCAAGTGACAGACCCCGGCTCAACCGCGAACCTGATCAAATTACCGATCGAAAATGTATCAGCGCAGGTCGCATCCAAAATCAACGAATTCCCCATTTTAAAAGGGAAAAACTTGTGCCTACTTTCCGATTCCAAAAACGATTCTTTTAAATTTTTAACTTAATTTTCCATTATTGGTACTAATGATAAATATTTATTGTTTTTAAATTATCACTAAAACTAAAATCATAATAACATCAAAATACGATGTATATTTATTTTACTTGAAACAAAAAAAATAAACTTTGCATAAATTCTCTAGGTAACCTTTAAAAGAATGCAGTTGATTTACAATATTCCGAAAAATACTTAAAAATTAAATAGAACATTTTTGTCAAGAAAAATATTTTCAAACATCATTGATGATTAAATGGCACCCAGAAAATGATGCAACGGAAAATTGGACACTGGAAAATTAGCAACAGAAAATTACGTCAACCATGAGCCAGTCGAGACTGTCGGATCTGGCTGTGCTGTCCATTGAAAACGAGCTTACAAGACAAACAGATTTTGACGATGTCATTGACCAGTTTGCCACAATGAAAACAAGAAAACATTCATTCTAAGACCATAGTATCGAATGTCATTCTTTTGTGTATTGCCATGTTTTGTATTTAGTTGTTCTGAAAGTGAACAGTTGCATTTTAAAAATCTTTTGATTATTTTGTGGTATTGGATTTTGTCTTGGATCATACATGTAAACAGTAATGTACCGGTCAGTAGAGTAAAGTAGAGGTAGAGCATGTATGAAAATTTAGCTACAGCTAACCATTCAGCATAGGGTGAATCGGGGTCATTGGGGTGACATTTGAGCGGACCGCCCGGGTGACGTTTACTCTAGCTATGCCACTGTATGATGCAAAACCCGAAATCGACGATGAGGACAGTGCATCACTGAAGACCACCCTTAATGCATTTAAAAATGTATTATGTAACGAATTGTTGTAATATCCTTTCGAAATAAATCAAGCCGACCTATACTGTACCATATTCGTTTGCCTTCAATTTTACATGGAAAAAGAATAATCTTTGTGTCCTCCACCACTGGGAGGAAGCTTGACTGGGAACCCCAGTTTGCTTTATGAACCTCGCTATCTTATTAACATTTGCTTTTATTTTCTACCTACATTTATATACGTTACAAATTAAATTAAGCAAAACTATTAGTAATTAAAGGATGAACATTTTTACAGATTTTGACGTCATTCTGCTGTCTTTTTTGTCCAAACCCGTGTATTTGTTTTGCACATGGTAAGTCTTGAAAAAATGATATATAAAATTCACTATCTTTTATCCATAATGTTCAATGTGTTACTTTAAAATTCTCAACTTTTAACAAGAAAAATCTCAAGTCGGTGTTAAAAATTGCCACAAAAGATTGTTGATTTATTTGCTAATTTGTATTTAGATACATTGTATTTATTTTCAATTTTTCTAGTTGAATTATTCACCTATATTGAATATGATCCATTATTGTGCATAATAAGAGAGGGAGAGGGAGAGGGAGAGGGATCCGGTTCGTTCTGCCACCGAAAGGGAGGCAAGCCTGACTAGGGGTCCCTGCCGGTGCTTTATAACTTTCACTATCTTGCTTTTTCCCTTTTTTTTTTTTTTTGCTTAAGGACATTTTGTTTTGTTATTATTACTTATTTTGTTTAAATAAATTCATTTCGTTTTTTTTTGCCTTGAGAAAACCCACATTGAACGAAACGCGTCGGCAACTACAGTTTTCCTATTGTCATTTATATTTTAATAATTTTTACCCATTTCCTCATTTTAATTATTTTGTTCTCCTACAATTTTAATATTATCGTTTTTATTTAAAATATTTTTTACAGTTTTTTTTTTTAAATGAATGAGAGGCGTATTCAATGAAGAAAAAATATTTTTAGAGTTGCTTTGTAGATATATTTCTATAAGGGACTTTTATCTTTAGCACCGTTTGATTATCCGTATTGAGTAATCTGACTTGGATTTCAGTTTATAATTTTCTTTGAAAAGTAAAAGAAACAAAATTATTTATCCATAATTAGATTCAAAGGTAAGTTTGATGTGAAAGATTGCAGTTTCGTCATCTTGTATAATCAACACTAGCTTGCTCCTTAAAAAAAATATTCATATTTCATTCAATTAAGTTTTTTTTAATTTCTAAGTGAAACCACGTGTAAAAACAAGAAGAAGACAATTAAAAAATATTCAATGTGTTTTTTTATCTTTTAATTTTGTGAATATGTCATATATTTTTGTAAATTTTAGAACGGATTCACTATCTTTTTTCAAAATGATTGTTGTGTTCTTATTTCATTATTAGTATTATTCAGATTGAAAAGAATCAATTATTAAAAAAAAAAAAAAAGCAAAGATAGTGTCGTCATAAAATAAATACTCAACGACCAACGTGTTGAACTATTTCGAGTTCTCGTTATTAAAGAAAAAAAATAAGTATTATTAAATATAAAATTGTTTATTTAATATATTTTATCACCCATCTCGTTAGTGATACAGAACAGGAACAATAAAAAATAAAATCTTTTTTATGAAATTGAAAAAGTAATTATTATTTTACTACTAATAATTAATTTATTTTAATACAAATCATATTCTATTTTAACGTGGCCGTAAAATTGTTTTAAAGCAAAATCTCCAGTTGATTTTCTTGTTCAGACAAAATTTAATAATTTTAAAAAAATAACTATAGAAAATTTAGTGGCATTTTATTTAAACTGTTCGCTTAAAATGAGAATCGCTAAATGGCAGGCTACAAGAAAAAACAAAAAATATTATCTAAGCAGATATAGTTTGCAGATGTCTTAGAAAAGAAAAAGAGGCATAAAAGAGAATTTTTGGTAAAATTTAACAAACGAACACGAAAAAAAATAACACAATATGTCAAACAAATTACCAAAAAAAAAAAAAAGGATGGTTTTTCAGTTTTCACTTGACATTATTGCTACTCCCTTGCGTTTGACAAATTATTCTTGCAAATAAACAATCTAATATTTTTAGCATTTTTGTTGTTAGTTCTGGAGAAAAAAATGAATAAATCCAGAGACTCGCAAAATTGATGTGACAACAAATGAAAGAAATGCTCAGAAAATGTATTTTTTAAAAATTTATTACTCTTTGATTTTTGGGGTTTATTTAGTTAGATTTTGTTCAAATATTTTTATAAATTTATAAGTAAAAATATTATTTTCATAGTTATTTCTTTACAGTAAATAATAAATATTGCATTATAGTTACTTTATTTTTATAACCTTACAAATGTAAAATTATTCTTGTAAATAAATAATCTAATAGTGTTTAGTTTTACTAACATTTTTACTGCCAGTTCTTGAGAAAAAAATTCAAATCTAATTTCATGTTTGAGTTTTATTAAAATTCTAAAAATAACTTTTTAAAACAATAAAAATTACTTTGAGATTATGCTGTAATAGCAGTAACAGTGACAAGAGAAAAACCAACCTTTTGACACTATTTTCTTTTTTTGTGTGTGTGTGTGTGTGGATATGTTTGTTAAGCTTTACTAAACTTTCAACCAATTCCTGTTTGCTTGAATTTTTTTAAAAATCAGACACATGTTCATTTTTATGAACTCTGAATAATAAGACTAATAATTATGAAATTGCAAGAAATATCACCTGAAGAAGGCCAGAGCATACAATGGCTGAAACGTTGTGAATATGGCAATAAAGATGACAACATTCTGAACAATGTAAATATTTCGGTCAGTCAGTTATGTGCCATGCGTGATACATGCTTAAGCAATTATGTATCTTTTGATACATGACTGACAAGGCAGATTTTTTCCTGCAGTAGGTTGCCATTTCTTTCTCCGGTAGACCAGCTGCCATCCAAGGCTATAGAACCCAGTCTGTCCTGCTTTTTACCCATAGCTGAGGGGAGAAGAAGAGGATTCATACCTTTCCCAAAGGTATTAGCATGTAAGCGAACGTAATGGATTTGACTGGAATTTGAACTCGACTCTCTGATTCATCAATCCGAGCAGCTATCCATTACTGAGCATTACTCCACAGTGCTTCATATATAGAAGTTCAAAATAGTTACAATACGTTATTTAAGAAATATAGACAGAAGTGAAATTAATATCAACCGTCCTAGATATGAAGATGTCCTACTAAAGAAAAATGTGCCCCATTAACAGGGATTGAGTCTGTATGCAATTTTTCCCATCAAAGAATTGACCCTGTAGAGTAACTGGCCATAATGCTCAACAAACGGAACTGAAAATGTTTCCAACAATAAGAAAAGGAAGAAAAAGAACAGGGCCAAATAAAACTAAGCAAACAATATATATGCAAGACAAAACTAAGCAAAGTGACAGTAATAAGGTAAAAGTTTCACAAAACAAGAATGGCATTAATACTCAAAAAGGATGTAGTCAAGTGATTGTAGTGTTCTGACTTCAAGACAAAAAAGAAGAGAAATATGACAGATGAGACCGAGAAGTGGCGTATCTTTTTAGAGAAGGGGATGTTTTACAGTCATTTCTATCTGGATTGCAACCAACAACTTTGGTAGCCAAAATGTACCATTCCCTATTTGGCTACTGGTGTCCATCTGAGTAAAGCAAAGTTCAATTACATATTTAAGGAATTAACATCTCTTGGCACACTTCATACATTATGTTTGTTTTACAGTTAAATGGTACTTTGTTTATGAGTTGTTCATTATCATCTTTGTTGTTTTTTACTAACACCTTTGAGAAAATTCATTCTTCGACCTTCCTCATTGTCTGAAATTTGGAGATAAATCATCAGTTGGGGGGGATCATTTTGACTAACATTCTTTGTTGATCTTGATTGCTAAAAATGTTTTTGTTTTTCTCTATTTTAGAAAATGATGGACAAGCACTTAAAGAAAGTTTTGCAGGAAAATGAAGATCTTATCATTGAGAGCATAAATTTTGAGGCTGTAATCGAATGTATGTTGGAAACGGAAATTTTATCCCTTGAAGACCAAGAAGAACTGGAGGTAAATTCTTTGCATTTTGAATCTGTTGAATTACTACAAAATGGCATTAAGTAACTTTAACCTGACCGTTTAACTTGAAATTAGTGATTTATTTAAATGGTAAAAAACTCAACTGCTTAAGATCTACTGAGCCTCTATCTTTTTCTACTTCAGCAAAAAGTCATTAATTCCTTTACTGAAGAATTTCTTGTTCAAAGAATTCATTGAAAACTTAACTTTTTTTGATCTTGATTGGAAAATACCTTGCCCATAATATACACATATATTTTGGCAAACTTGGACCATTGTGCTGGAAAAAAAAACCCCAGTGTGTGAAAAGGAGGGTTTTCTATTGACATGGCCGTTATTTTAACTACTTTCACATCCTTGGCAATGTTTGTTGTTTTAAAAAGTAATGATTAGAATTTTAATAAAACTTAAACATATGAAAGTGAATTTATACAATTTTTTTTGCTCTTTGAAAATTGACAACAAAAATATTAAACATTATTTATTAGACTGTTTATTTGCAAGAATAATTTTATATTTACAACATTATAAAAATATGAGTCAACTAATACAGTGTAAAGTTTAACATTTATTAATCTATAAAGAAATAAATATGAAAATAAGTTTTTTATTCATAAATTTCTAAAAGTGTTTGTCAAATATGAAAATTTAAATAAACAGATAACAAGTAACTTTTTTTTTCTCTGTGTGTGAAATACATCTGTTTGATGCTTTGACATCAGTGATGTTCTTAGCTGAGGGTCATTAGGGGTTTTAGGTCTTTCAACATCGTACCCCCCTCTTCACAGTGACCCAGCCAATACACATCAGGTACTGACTGGTGTGCCATCTGTAAGCTACAACTTTCGTCGGTCTTAATCACATAAATCATAATAAAGAAAGATTGCTAAACTCAAAAGACAATTGTGCAATAAAATTTCTTAAAATGGAAGAAACTTTATCAATTTGGATGACCAATGCAAGGGGAGACAACTTCGTAACATGGAATTGTTTTCAAGAAATCAAAAGTTGTATAAAGAATACTAAAAGTGTCAAATTCAGATGTTCATCTAGATGAACAAATTCAAGAAAAGAAAATAGAATATGGGTAGGAGAATGATATCTGAAGACATCTCAGCACAAACTTGTATTTAGTGAAAGGCTAAATTTGAATTTTAATCATTTTTAACAATGTTCATGTATTTTCTTGCTTTCCAATCACATTCATTTTTCTCTCTTTTAAAAGTTGTGGTGAATGCGTGTCATTACAGACACAAAAGAGTCCCCATTAACAGTAGAACAGCTTGGTATGTCTAGGTATAGGCCTCTCTGCAACTGGTCAAGATCCAGGTCTTTGTATGATGTCTCATGCCAATAAAAGCTAGAGGAAAACAGCAGTCAGTAGTTGTCAAGACATGGTGTCTTGTAAAGTTGGTCCTGTGGGCATTTTTTTTTCCCTCAAGTTGCTGTGGTTTCTGAGGCAGGTGTTATTTCTTGTTACCTTCTGTCTCTTTCCCTTCTCTCTCTTTTACCTCCACAGTTTCTGGGTGAGCAATCGGTTAGGTGTCCCCCCCCCCAATCTCAGCAGACTCTTGCCTTACTTTACGACAAAAGTGAACCTCAGATACAGTTAAATTGTGAAATGTTTGAGTGTGATTTGGGGGAATTTGAACCACATGAGTGAAAGCTGAAGGTATTATGGGATTTTGCTGCTATCTTTTATGAGCAGATCTACAAATGAAAGCAAGGGATATTTTGAAAAAGAATATCCTGACACCTTGAGACAAGGGCTTGAAGAAATATGTTTGGATAACTCAAAATTACAGGTAACAGAATACCTAAATTATCAAAAAACAATGACGGAAAAAATCATTTTTATTATCAGATAACATTTTCAAACACTTTATTCAAGGGGTTTTGTCCAGTTTATTTTTCATGAAAAACTGTTTTTGTTGTTTCTAGCTGGCTTCATGTTATTTTGTCATTAAAACCATAAGCCACATTTGGGTAGATTTATTTGTAAGGAAAGCTTCTGGTTGAAAGTGCAGCCAACTTAAACATTTGTCAATTATTATCACAACATTGGGTTTTTTTTTTTAAATTCTTAAAACATTTGTCCAAGAAGATAATTGATAAGAGTTCAGAGAATTTCAATTTTTCCCTTCATTTCACGTCCAGACATTGAAATTTTAGTAAATTGGGGTCCGGATAATTGAGGAAGTACTGTACTGTAAAATCTTGGTGTTGGGTTAAAAAATAGTTGATGGTTGGATTCCACAAATTAGCATTTTCTACCAGTATCAGAGGTCAGTGCTTGAGCCTAGAGGAAAACCAGGATTTTGAATACTACTTTTTTGGTAGTTTGGCACAAGGCTATAAGTGTATGGCACCCAGTGACAGTAAAACTCCCTACAGCAGTAATTTATTTATTTTATTATTATTTTTTTTTTTTTTTTAAATAAAACTATTTGCTATGACATTGTGAGGCACACAGATTTGTTTGAATAATTCACTTTTGTCTCTTTCTATCAGCAAAATGATGATAAAGCAAATAAAGTGAAAAAATTTCTGCGAATGATTGAAAGAAAAGGTTCCAAGTGTTTTGAATATTTCCTTGATGCTTTGGTCCGAACTGATAACACAGCTTTGGAAAATGTCTTACGCAAAAATGAAAAAGTTCCCTCCTTTCGTAAGTAAAGTTCTTTGTATTTTATTGGTGGGTGATAATTTTTTTTGTTTTTTTTTTTTTAGATGTTGCAATGGAATGAAAGCAGCAAGACCAGGACTTTATTTTTTAAGATTTATTTCTAATCTTCTTTCTAATTTGAAAATCATCTCCATAAATAAACACAGATATATTTAGACAAAGGGGGAGGGGTGGAGAATAATTAAGTCACCATAAATTAGGGAATTGAAAAATATATCCATTTAATATTAGTAATATATTGGCGGCCACAATCTTAACGGCATAAGACATACATTTACATTATTTACATTGTTCAGACTGTTGTCCTCATCTTTATTGCCATATTCACAGCATTTTGGCCATTGTATGCTCCGGCTTTCATCCAGTATTTTGGAATTTCAAACTGAACCCTTTATTTCGTCCACTGGGGGTAGATTGTTCTACTTCCATGTGCCATGTCTCTTCCAGATGTCTCAGTTATCCCCCTTTAACTCTCAAAAAAGTGGTTACTGAGGCATCAATTTTAGAAGTCCCAAAAATTCATATACTGAGGTCCTCAAGGACAAATGGCCTAGTTGGTTGGATCCAGTGACTTGACACAAAGAGTTGTGAGTTCAATACCTGGCTACGGCAGTGGTGAACAAAAACTTGGAGTGTTGAGTTAAAGGGAGATAACTGAGCCCAACATACGAATTGGAGACACCAAAACTAAAGTACAATAAATATTTGGGAAATGTTTTAAGATGGAAAGTGCAACTTTGAAATCCAAAGGCACATTGGGATAGCAAAAGATGCCTTCCAAAAGCTAAGCAAAGTACTAAGAAAGAGAAAAATTTTGTTAGAAACAAAGAAAACAATACTGAAGTATTATGTAATATCAATCCACCTATATGTCAGTGATTGCTGGACAATCTCTTCAAAGATGATGAAGAGTCTTGGAGCCACAGAAATAGGGTTCTACAGAAGGATGCTGAGGATACCATGAACCAAACATGTAAGCAACATCAAAATTCTAGAGAAAATGAAAGGACACTTATATTTGAGATCAGGAAGAAATATTTGAAATATCTAGGGCACATAATATAGGAAAGAGGGCTTGGAAAATTTGATAGTCACAGGACAGATTGAAAGCAAGAGCGACAGAAGAAAACAATCTATAACCTACTTAGCAAGCTTGAGTGAATGAGCAGGGTTTGGGAGAGATAACAAAAAAACAAAAAAACAAAATTTATTAAGAGCTACAAAGGACAAGAAAGTGTGGAGAGCCATGATCACCGACATCCTGAAGGGACACAGCACATAGATGAAGTACCTGTAAATAATTCATGGTTTTGCTATTTGAATTTTCTGATGAAGTTAATGATTGTGTAAGGTCTTTGTGAGTTCCACAACTATAAAATACCCATAGAAATTCTCCTATTGTATCATAAAAAATATAAGCTTAACAACTTTAATAAAATATCACAATAAAAATCATAAGTATGAATGCAGGTCATTTAAAGAAGAGGGTACAAATGAAAAGAATTGAAATTGTTGAAGCTTTCCATTTCACTGAAGCAGATGTTAAACATATGAGAGCATTATTTCCTATTTACTCTTTGTTTCTTTTTATCATTGAAACCAGATGTCTGGTATGTGTTTTCCATCTTGCAATCAAAACAAAATAGTCCATTCTTTATGAGTTATTGGCAGAGTGTAACATATGTTCTAAGTAATGAACAATTATATTCTATAAAATACTTTTTTTAAAATATTAACATTTACATAGAAATGTCTGTTTTTAAAAGTCATAATAAAATTTTGTATTTGCCACAGATTATTTGTTTATAATCTATTAAACACTGTAATATCTACCTTAAGTACTCTTTGGTCCTAAACAAATGTCATCCCTCCTATGCAAAATTAAAAAAAAAAAAAAAATTCCAACCAAGACATTTTTAATTGTTAAACACCCTCGCCCACCCCACTATCCTCAATGTGTTCCAACTTTTAGACGATTCCATAAATATGTCTTCTGAAATCTTGTCTTTGAGTTGGTTGGGCAAAATCAAAATGACTTTGCATTGATCCATGATTTTCTTTCTCATTCATAATGAAATGATTTTACATCACAATTGAATATTTAACAAAGCGTTAATACTTATTATATTTTAGCATTTCTTTCAACTCCATTGCTTGCTATTCCAATCCTCTTTGTGTTCAGAAGTCGAGAGCAAGGTTATATACAGTGACCAAAAAAGAAAAAAAAATGCTACGAATTACTAACCCCGACAATTCTGTATGCTTTGTGTATAACGAACAAAGCTTCGTATCAAACTGATGTTCAAATCACAAATATAATTTAGCAAAGAAGAATTACCTTCTTCCAACCAGACATTTAACAACTGACAAAACACAATGGCTGCCAAAGAGATATATGAAATTTGAAAAGAGCTTAGACTGACCAACTTCCCAAAATGAATATAATTAATGCTGGTTTTTATGTTCAGTGTTAATGGGTCACAGGTAGAAGCCTATAATTAATGCTGGAGTTTATGGTGGGCATTAATGTGTTGAATGTCAACAAAAAGTGTCTATATTTAATCCATATCTGAATTAAATTTCAATTAAATTCTTTTGCTTTTTTTTTTTTTATTGCAGCTTTTGGCAATGAATCTAACAAGGTAAGATAATGAACATTTTGAATTTCTTTCTTCAAAAACACACACACACATATACGCCATTGTGAAGTAGTTCATTTTTAATGATACTTCATTAAGTACAAGTTCATGATATACAGTTTTTATTATTCATAGAAAACTTGTCTAAAATCTTTTAACTATATTTAGATCCTCTTAGCCTTGGTTAGCAGTCTGTCTAGGAGAAATATCGATCTGATTTCAAAACCAGGGTAGATGTGTCTCCTTAGTCCCCTTTAGAAGTGGCCAACAGCTTCATCCTTGGGGTGATGGTGGATGAGCTGTGGTTAGAAGAGGATTTGGGATCCACTGACGTCACTTATGGACATAAGGATGTGCAGGTGTTGTAATGAACAGTGGCTCAGAATGAGAAATCAGAGAGCTGAGTTTCAAATTCTGATCAAGATCATTACATTCACTTTTGCCCTTTTAGCTATGGGCTAAATAGCAGAGCAGAATGGGCCCTCTAGCCATGGTTGGCAAACAGTCTAGGAGAAGGACAACTGATCCTCAGCAATAAGGATGGGAAGAAGTAGAAAAAAAAGCAAGTCATAATAAAACGATGCATATTCTTTGGATCCGTCACTTTCAGACAGTCACTTGTTCCATGTAACGTTCCTCACTTGATCAGTAATTTCAACAAGTTGAAAACATTGAAAAATTCTTCAAAGAATTCATTAAGTCTAAATTGGAACCATTCTTTTATGACAGAATTCAAATGAAAGATGGCATCAGGTCAAAGAAAGACAAGAAAAATGAATTTACTGCTAGTTCACCCAATACAAGACCCAAGGGCCACTCAAGGTAGAGCATTACAAAATGACATTTTGTCTTTTAAGAATAAAAGCAGCAGAACTTCTTGAGTCAGAAAAATCATGACTGTGTGTGTGTAGCTTAGACACCAAGACAAGCTCACTTATTTAGGAGTACTAAATGACCCATTGAAAGAACAGTTTCAAGTGTCAGGAAAGCGAGTTTGTGGTATGACCAACAAATATTATTTAATCCGTTGGAGATACAATCTTCCAAAGGGCACTTGAATTTGTAAAGTATGTTGTTTTTTCGCAAATTGCTAACTGGGGGAGAAGAATCATTGCGAATAATTAAGTTGGATTTAGTGTAGTATATGATTAACCTAATTTTTTTGCTAGGATCTGTTGTAGATATATTAGTATTTACTAAATTTTTTAGTATATTTTTATCTTGTTTATAACTATTATGCATTTGATTAAGATATAGGAGATTAATATGTTTGAGATTAGTAGAAGCAGTATTATGTACTATTTGCTTAGTATTGAGACTTCTAAGAAATCATCTTATTTGTTCATCAGCAAAAAATTCATCCACAAAACAGATTTTTTACAGTGAACTAAAGAATATAAAACAAACACTTATTAATAATAGCTTTCCAAACTATAGTTTGGAAAGTTATTATCAATAATGTGTTCTACGATGGAAAATGTGGCGAAAAAGAAAATTACTTACCAAACAAAAGGGCACGTATTCCGGATGACATGCTGAAAATGGAATATTTGAATTAAAAAAACAAGTCCATTGCAGGAGTCGCTATAAAAGTATGTTGATATGCAAATTACTGAACATCCTCTTCCTGCTGTCGACGAATGGGAAAAAAAAATTTTCGGCCGATAAAAGCAGTTGGTGTTCTCGAATTGGCTGCCACGTTGGTTGGCGAGGGAGTTATTTTTCTGACTGGTTGTGTGCATTGTGATTTGTACTTGCAAATCGAGTTTTCGGCATTTTCTTTCTGTCCCTGATGTTCGAGTCTGAATTTAGTGATTTATTCTCGGTGACGTGGAAATAATCTGCGGCAAACATTTCCTTTGCAATCCCAGACTGCTTACACATACACAATTCCAGAAAATCCTCATTGAAAACACAACTATACTAAAACATGAAAACAATAAACAAACTAAAAATTCTTGAAGCTGTATACATAAAACAGTTGAAACCTGAACAAAATAAACTATGAAATCTCCACAAATATTCTTAAATGCCTGTAATTGATAACAGAAGCCATTGGTTTATACCAATGGCTTTCCATACTTCTTGTTTTCACTCTTGCGGGGTAATGTGTGTCTTCATGAGCTGCAGTGCGGTTTTCGTTTCCAACATCTCATATGCATGAGTTTGTCGTTGTTTGGAAATCTTCCATGTAAACAAAAACAGACTATCATTATTGTTTTGTCCGTGTATTGTTTAATATATTGAAATGTAACTGTCATCTTATGTAAGCCGAAAGCTTAGATAGGATTAAAAAACATGTATCAATATTGTGATTTTCTTTCTTCTTTTAATGATAATGCTATTAAGCTTATCAGACGATATGAAAAGAATTTACATAAAATAAATAGACAAAACTTGTCTATATTATTTAATGAAACATTACATTATATATATATATATATATATATATATATATAATCTGAATAATGAGTTGACATCACAGAATAAATAGACTGATTTAAAAAGAACTGTAGACATTTTTCCTAAAGAATTCTTTCGATCAAGACTTCTTCAGAAGGAGTCATCGTTTTAATTGGGATGAGGCACAAGGTTTATATTCACAAGAACTAAATAGTAAATGAGGAGGGAAACTTAATTTCAGAACATGACTAAAACAATTCATTAGTAAAAATAATTACCATTTTTCTACAGATCCATTATTCATGAATCTAATTTATATCTAATACATAAAAATCAATGAAGATATATACAAAATACACATGAGATTTGCCTTAATGAAAAATCAAACCTAAATGAAATTTTTCAAAACATGCAGCTGACTAACTTTTACACACTTTAGTATCCAGAAAGTTTCTCATGTATATTTGAATATTATCTGTTACTTCATTATATGTGACACATATCTAATCAATAAGAACTAACCAAATACAATATATCATTAATCTGCATCTCTTTGCTTTTTAGCATTTCTATCTTAATCTCTGGCAAAGCTTTAATAAAATGAAACATGTTAGATTGAGGTCTGTTTTCTACTTGTTCTTTACTCCATCATTTTGTCAGATTCCTATTTATACTTGATCTCTTTCTCATATATATATATATATATATATATATATATATATAATCTTGTCAATCGTCTTTCCACCACTTGCTGCATATTTGGATAAACTATAAGCATAAAGAAAACTGAAGTTGTCCATCAACCACGGTGACTACACCTAAGCAGGTCAAGGGTGTAAAACAAAAACCACCTGCCCATACCTTTTCAATCATTCACATTAATGTTGACAGCAACCTGATGCACGTAAAATCATTCTTGTACTTCGGAAGCAAAGTCAATTCAGGTGCCTCTTTGGATGACAAAATAGTTAACCAAATATCAAATGCAACCAATGTCTTTGGGAAGATTAAGCATCACCTATGGGGTGTTCATGGAATTTCACTGAAAACGAAAATCAGTGTCTATCAAGCAATCATTCTCACCACACTTCTTTATGGTTCAGAATCATGGACGCCATACAGGACGCACATTAATCAACTTGATGCTTTTCATAAATGCTGTTTTCATTCAATACGCGGTTATACACGGCAGGACAAAATCTCTAACCCTGATCTTTTCATCAAATGTAGCATCGGTGTTATTGAATCCATTCTGATGCAATCATAGTTCAGGTGGGCTGGTCATGTCATCAGAATGAGTGATGATCGGATGCCGAAAATCCTCGTGTATAGCCAACTTTTTCATGGTAAGTGTAATAATGTAGGCTGTCCTTGGTTACGCTTCACAGACAAATTTAAATACAATTTAATTGCTGCAAACATCCCTATACAGGAGTTTGAACTTGCTGTTGAAAAACAAGGAAACTGCTACCAAGGTATAACTAACATTGAAAAGAATCGTCTCATCCATCTGAGAGAATTAACAATTAACACTAAATTTCGGGCTAATACCTCAGCCCATATGACGGTCAACCCTTCAGTATGCCTTTCATGTGGATTTGTTTGCAAATCCCATGCATGATTGTTGTCTCATATGAAACAGAAGCATAAGAAACTGAACTAAGACACTCATACGTCGAAAACAACGGGAGTGTCCATCATCATTATATATATATATATATATATATTCCTAATCTTAATTTCTATAAATATATATATACACACACCTAACAAAGGACAGCCTGAGTCATTCCTCAAGTTTCATGCTCTCATGACCTTCAAGTGACTAGGACATTCAAATTGTCTGAACATTGTGAGACTCTAGTAACAACTTGGGTTGTCCTTTGTCAAGTGTTGATGTTATGAAGCATTTTTTGTTCCATCTGGATAATCTGGGTTTTTGAGAACATGACTGAGTAGATAGGCATTTGTTTTTTGGGGTCTTTTTTGTTTTTTTTTTCTTTTCTTGTTCACTGAATCCTTTTTACTGATTGGATATTTTTTTACTTTCTTGTTTGAACAGATTAGCAACATAGAAAATGTTGAATCCTCATGCCAGACATTCATTATGCACAACGAAGACCATACTCTGGGTAACGCACTTCGTTACGTTGTCATGAAGAAGTAAGTAAACAACCAAATGTCATATTCTCTATGAGAAGTTGAAAAATAACCATTTTGTCAGAAATTTTATGTTTATGTAGAAAAATATATCTATATTTAGAAGATAAGGTATTGTAACTATTTACACTATTCAGACTGTTGTCCTCATCTTTATTGCCATATTCACATTTTGGCCATCGTATGCTCCGGCCTTTTTCAGGATCCCTCTATATTTCTGAGTTGAGGTATTGTAACTATTTACATTTGTTCAGACTGATGTCCTCATATTCATTACATTTCGCCCATTATACACTCTAACCTTCTTCAGGTGATATATATTAGAATTTCAAACCAAACCCTTTATTTCGTCCACTTAGGTAGATTGTTCTTGTTCCACGTCTTTTCTGGATATTTCATTTTCAATTACTTCCCTTTAGTAACTCGACTCTCCAAGATTTTTGTTCACCTCTGCTGTGATCAGGTATTGAACTCATAACTCTATGGGTCAAGTCATTTTTCAATTAATTCAACTGACATTTTTATCCACTGGGCCATGTTATTTGTTAACATTTCCATAAAAAAAAAAAAAGAAAAGAAATCAAATCACTTTTGTGGATTGTTATTTAAAAACAAAGAAGCTAAAACTGACTTGAACCAAAAAGCATTTAAACCCTGGCTTAGCATATTTACAAAGATTAGCTGCATAAGAATTCTGGCTTTTCAACTTTACCTTGAATATCAACCCTTGGTAATGAATGGAGACATGCAACTATTTTGACCACAAACATAAACATATCCTTTCCTTTTTTGAATCTCATTAAACATTGGAAACTTATTTTTTCCAGTAGATTCCATTTCAGTTGTGATGCTGAATGTAGTTCTGGATGAAGCCATCATTTTGGATTCTTCTAAATCCATTTTACTATCATTTATTCTTATCTTTCTCATTCCATTAGTGAATGCGCTTCTTGATTTTTTTTTTTTCTATTGACAGAATACAGCAGCCACTCTTATTATTTTGAGGGATGGACGGGTCCTACTAACATTGTTTTAGTTTTATCTTTGTGTTTCATTTTTAGTTTGTTTTTTGGTTTCATCCTCCCACACCATCATTTAATAAATTATGAACCAAACTTTATGGGCAATGAAATGAAATTTTTACATCATGGGATGTTCCGTAGGTCTCCTGCTAATATGCAGTATTGATTGGTGATGGATGAGTTCTTGTGGTGAATGGGCAAATTGTAATGAATGAATGGGTCATGATTCTGATTAACTAGGACAACTAATGAATACCAGCCTCTCCCTATTTCCCCTTCGGCCTTGCTCCACAATTTTGTATTTTTATGAAATATATCTATTTTATTTACATGTGAACTATTGTCCTCATTTTTGTTGTTGTTGTTATTACAATGTTTCAGCCGTTGTATTATGTTGAGCCAGATAACTTACAGGGAATTACAAACTGAACACTTTATTTAATCTATGATGATAGACTGTTCTCTTTCCACTGTCCATGTCTAGAGATATCTCCTCATTTAGTTTATATTTTATCACTACTGCTCATTGTTTGCCCTGTTTGCATCAAGTCCAAATACACACTGCCCAGCCCAGGGATTGAACTCACAATTACTATGTCACCAAATTCATTACCCAACACTTTAATCCACTAGGCTATTGTCCTGCGTATCGATAAACACCTGATGATGACTGAAACATTGTGATGATGATGATGATAATAAAAAAAGATGTGGACAATTGCCTGTATGTAAATAAAGTTAAATCCTCGTCCCCAAAATTAGTGTCTATCTTGACTCAAGATTGTTGTTCTCAAATATTTTTCACCAACAGTTTTTAGTTTGCATTCCTAATAGTTAAAGAAATATTTTCAAAAATGGCACTGGGAACCTTAGAAAGAAATCATTATATTTTTTTTCTTATTATTGTAATAGAAAACTGAATGTTATTGTTAAATTAGTACTTTCTTTTTGTTTTTACTATTGTCAGCATTCAGTTACTGTGTGCTCAGGCAACAAGTTTATCAAATACATTTCTATAAAAATTTGCAAAACTATTCAAATGGCTTTATGACAATTTTGCTGATATCATTTTATGGCATCCACAAAGAAATACAATTACATCATGTATTAAAGAAACCTTCAGACAAAAATTGATTCGTACAGTTTTGGATGAATAACTTAGAAAAGTCATTAATGTAAAACAAATCTACAATAACAGATTTATTGTTTGTTTATAATTCATTCCTAATTTCACAATCAGCATTAATGAGTCACAACCGTTATCCTCTGGTTAGGAGAGAAGTTCAAATCCCTTTGAAGCCTTCATTTCAAAATGCATCTGGTGTCTTCTCGATTTTGCACTATCATCAATGTAAATTCACAATACTTTAATCTTCAACGTGTTTAGGCTTATGATATCAATCAGGCTCCAGCCTTCATACCCACAAAAACAAAACAAAAGAAAAGTGTTATTATTTTAACTACTTTCACTCCTCAATATTTAACATTTTAAAAAGTGATGATTAGAATTGAAATAAAACCTAAACATATGAAAGTGAATTTATATATTTTCTTTCTTGAGAATTAACAACAAAAATAATAAACATTTATTTATTAGATTGTTTATTGGAATGGTTGGCAAAACATTGGCTAATTGCCAATCAATTTGAACTTTATAAAAATAGTAATTTCCTCATAGTTGGTTCACATGTTTTAATCATTTAGTAACTGTTTATAAGTTTATGAATAAAATATTTTCATATTTATTTCTTCATAAATGATAAATATTGTATTAGTTTTTAGAATGTTGTAAATATAAAATTATTTATGTCAATAAACAAGCTAATGAATAAATAGTGTTTAAGATTTTTGTTTTATAAATTCACTTTCCTTGTGTGTTCAGATTTTATTACAATTCTAATCATCAATTTTTAAAACAAACACTGCCAAGGTGTGAAGGGAGTCAAAATAATAGCGGAGTCAAGGGAAAACACATCCCTTTGGCACACCATCTTTTTTTGTAGGCACAATGGTTAGCCATTGCCCATCTTATGTTTTTTCTTTTTTTTTCGTGTCTTGGAGAAATCTGTTCTTTCTAGCCTTTTGGGTGGGGAGTTATGAATACATAACAAAAAAAAAATTTGCTAGGTACCTAAAACAAGAAGGGGGTAAAATTTTATTCAATGTGCAATAAACAGGGGGGTGGGTCTTAATAAAAGTGGAGGGTATCAGAAAATCACTTAAAGTGCCAAAGTAATAAATATGGTGGTTTTAATAAGCTGTAATTCCTCAAAATTAAACAACACCCTGTGCTTATTAGGCACCTACAATTATTAAAATGAAATTGTTTAATTATTGAGATTATTATATTCCCAGTGTCAATTTTGACATCTGCTTACTTTTGTGTATTTGTTGTCTTTACATAATCATTTGAATGAATCTATCACAGATGTGATATAAATGCCTTCTCTTCAAATAAATTAAGACTTTTTGGTTTTTTCTTCAATGTCAAGTTTACTAAACTTTGCTTTCAGTCCCAAAGTGGAATTCTGTGGCTATGGGGTGCCTCATCCTTTTGACAACAAAATCAATTTTCGCATTCAGACCAAAGGTAAGTCTTTTTTTTTTCTTCTTTCTCCCCCACCATTCAAATTTTTATTTAGAAATAAAGTTTTTGTTTTGGTGGTGGAGTAAAGTTAACCTCTTTTATTCAAGAAAGAATGCTTGTAACTTCTGCATACATCTAATAATGGCAATACTAGTTTGTTAATGATTAGTTTTTTTTGTTTTTTTTTGTGAAAAGTAAAAACCAAATTTTATTATAAAATATCCTATCATCCAAGGTCGACAATAGACATAACAATATTTTACATGATTTGCATTGCTCGGACTGTTGTTTTCATCTTTATTGCTATTCACAGCATTTCAGCTGTCGTATGCTCTGGCCTTCTTCAGGTGATACATTTTATTGTGACCGAACTTTGCTCAAGTAACTGGCAATGGGACAATCCAAAGAAAGCATTCAAAAACAAAAGCAAAAAGTGTAAGAGTCTTATTATATATATATATATATATATATATATATATATATAGATTCTCTCAGCATAGCTTAGATGTGGCACAAAGCTGAAAGTAGGGGGGCATCCAATGAGGATCAAACTCACTGCTCAGTTGTAATTGTTTTAGCTAGACAAGCTTGCTAACCATTACACCACTTTGGGGTGCCCATATATATATATATATATATATACACACACATATACATATACACACACCAGAAGCACAACTTGGAGTTTCAGGTGCTGAATTAAGACTCAATTTAGCACCTGATTATTGTGTTGTGCATGAAACTCAGTCATGCTACTAGTGAGGGGAAAAAATATTAATATATAGTTTCTAGCTCTTTTATTAACACCAGCACTCAATGTGTGTGCATCTATATATATAGATAAGCAGATGCAAAGTATAAAACTGTGCTTAGCCCATATATTTGACTGCTTTGTTTTTTTTAATTGTTCATAAAAATTTCCATCTTTAGGAGATTCTGCAGTTCAAGTTTTGGCTGAAGGATTTTCAAATTTGAATTCGCTCTGTAAAATAGTTTTGGATAAATTTGAGGTAAGTTCACTATTTAAGTTCTTATCTTTAATATATTTATGTTATATTGGATAAATAAATTTTTATAAACAGACTAAGTCATGATACATTTTGAGAATTTTTCAGCACCCTCTCATATTCTTCCAATAAAACTTTACTTGCCTCATAGTCTTATGTTTTGTTTTCTTGCATTTCTTTTCAAAATGTAAATGTGTCTGACACAGGCTGTTTATCTCAGAAATGACAGAATCTTTTTTTTTTCCCCTTTCAGGACAGCGTACAAAAATACAAACGAAGCCAAGCAGAATAATGTTTAATTTGACTAACATTTGTAAATATAGAACAAATAAAATCTTTTGCACTTGTTTTAATGTAGCATTTCTTGTTTGCGAAGGGAGAGAAAATACACTGTCTTCATAACAGTAGAATGTTGATATCCACACTGTTTAGCAGGCAATTTTTTTTTCTTTGTTTTCTCATAAAATGTTTCAGTAAAACTATAGTTGGCATCATTCAAGTTTTATTTAATTTTTTTTTTGCAGATTAAAGCCAGAAAATGTTTAGTTTAGTTCTACTAATTAACCCATAGCTAAGAGAAGGTAGAATTGCACATAAGTGGTCACCCATCTAGGGTACTGACCATGCTCGACATTGCTTAACTTTGAAACACCAGTTCTCATACGATTACCAATGTAATATAGCTGTCAGCCAGTCTTTCAAGATCTTGTGAGATTAGTTTTTGTACAATGTTAATTTTACCATTACTTTTGTTGTGCACAAACCAGTTTTAGGATGCAGATATGTTTTCCCAAAAACTGTTGCTTGGTTTCATCATTTATAGCCATAAAGAAATCAAAATCATTGTGTTGATCAGCCACCAGGATGGCTTATCAAATTTTTTTCAGGTTAAAGGAAATCATTATAAAGACACTAAGTGTGGGAAGGCTGTCCTTGGATTGGCTTACCAAGTTGTAGGCATAATCTACTTATTTGAGAGATTTGGGAGCCCAGCTCCCAACTGGGGAAAAAAAAAAAAAAAAAAACATAAAGAAAATACTGCTTTTTGAATTTTAATTCTTTTCTTTATTACTAGCAAAAGCATTTACTCTTGCTATGAATAATGGGACATTACATAGACAGACAAACGTGCATATCGGAAATGTAGTTGTCACTTCTCAAAGAGTTACAAATGAAAGTTCAATCTGATCTTTTTCCCTTTTAAATTTAAACACTTCAATTACACTTCTTGCTTTCACTCAAGTTTTTGGAAATGTACAAATTGTTATCTACACACACACACACATACACACAATCTATTCAATCATATTCACTTGCAGAGGTGCTTTTTTTGTTGTTATTTTTTCTTCTTTGTTTTATTTCTAACCTGAGAAGTTCTTTCGTTTATTTTACTTCCTACAAGTTCTTGAAATTTCCCCATCAATTCAGCATTTACATATATCAAAATAAATAAATGGTATTTCTATGTATATTCTCTCTCTCTCTCTCACACTCACACACACACACAAAATAACAAAACTTTCTCCTTGTATTTCTGGATTATGATTTAAAAAAAAGAAAAAAAAAAAAAAGTTTTAGTAACCAGAGCAGAAAACGACTTTGGAATAATTTGGGAAGAACTATGTTCTATCCAAGACAAAACCATAAATGTCATTCCATCATCTAAATTCGACTAATTGTTAAGATTTTCATCTCTATAAATAAATTTTCTGTAATTTTTAATTTTTTTTTCTTTTTCTATAAGATAAAGCATCTATTTCCTGAATATGAGGTGAGATTAAAAAAAGTAAACCAAATAAAAAGAAAACGGCAGGGTTTATGGCGCCTGCAGAAGGCAGAAAACAATAGAAACGGCTCAGAAATTGGGCTTTCGAAATCATTATGCCAATATTTTGTCTGAGATGAAGCTACACAATCATCATTGATTGTAAAATATCAACAAATATAAAAGTTATTCAGCGTCAGAAACAATACTAGAGCTTTTTGGCAAGTTATTCTGCAGACCGTGTCAATATGCCATTTCGAGATATAAACACTGGTAAAAAGTTAAACCTGCCTGAAGTGTTTGGGGATATATAAAGACATATTTCTAATTGGCAAGACAATCTTGAAAAATAACATCAAATGCCTGATCTTCAATAACAAGAGACAACAAATGTCTTAACATAAGCAGATGTAGGATGTTTTCTTTAGCACATATATTTTTAGGCTCTTCTATAGTCATAAGATAATTTGATAACATGGAATAATAACACTGCAGAAATATTTTTGTAAAGTTAATTCTTCTGGTGTTAGAGAGGCAGCAGCAGCGAGAGAGAAAGTACAGGAAAAACCAGCCAAGCTGTACAAATCAGGATTCATTTACAGAGAGGAGGGGGGAAAAAAAAAAAAAAAAAAAAACATACACACACACACACACACACACACACACACCTTGGCCACCAGGACATGGAAAAATTTCAATTCTGCTGGTTTCTACCAATATGTAGACCCACAAGCAGCAGAAATGACTATGAAAGATTTATCCAAACCAGGTTTACTCACCATCACAGATGCTAAAAGCAAGGTGTTAGCCAGATAATCCAAGCCCCTGATCCTTTTTTTTTTTTTCAACCAGTCCCAAACTAACCCACTTTTTTTCCTGCCATTTTTTTTTTTTGACCCGAGGTTCAGCTTTATTGGCCAATAGTTGCCGGAAATTGACGTCATCAACTTTGTCCCTGCAGTCTCCAAATTTGTCATTATCTTTTCTTCTATCAAGCCATCATATGCACTGGCAGATCATCAACCAAGTGGATCTCACCCCACTGATGTTTGAGCATCTGCAACAGTTTGGCCTCCTCCTTACCATACTGAAAAAGGAGACGTAGACTGACCTCGGGGGGAGACTTACGGCCCTTCAGGTCCTCCTTGGGGCTGTAATATTCAAATGAGGTGTCCACCTCAATCTCGTCGTCCTCATCAGAAAACACGAGAGTAAGGCATTTGTGAGGCTCCTGCTCAACTAGTATCCGTTTCAGGTACTCGATCTTGCGGACCTCAAGAATTCGGTGCCGTGGCTTGTCTGGCAGTCCTCGGGCAAATTCTGGCAGAGGATAGCTGACAAGATCTTCGGCCGCAAGACAGAAGTGTCGATTAGTCAAAATGACTGTACGCGGCAATGCCTCAGTGACCACTTTGGACAAATCAGACGACTCTGTGGGGATCTGAAAGCCCAGAATGTAGACCCAGATGAGGTAGGGGGCTTTCGAAGAGAGGTCTTCTTTGGAAATGTCAGAGATGATGTACATAATGTCCGATATGGTTTCTTCACCAGGATAGCAGAAACGGACCTTGCTTGGGTGAATGTACTCAATGCCTTCCGTGCTGGAGCGGGTCTTGGTCACCAGGCTGTAGAAGTCCACCTCTGAATCAGACGGTGTGTCAGCAGAGGTCACGACATGCGAGGAGAGGGCAGAGGAAATGATCTGAAGGAATGTCTCCGTGGCAGCACATTCTCGAGTCACAATTGTACAGACAGAGTTTTCGCTGGGGCCAGTAAGGCGCAAACACTGGTCGAACATTCCAATGTTGATCTGCACAAGCTCGGAAAGCGGAATGATGATAAAGGCCCGGGGAACTTTGGCATGCTGACAACCACCACGATGCAGAATTCCAGCACAGTGGTGATCGTCGTTTCGTAAGTCAGTCTGGAGAAATGCAATAGCAGAGTCTGATTTATGCCGGCAGTGGGTCATCCACATTCGTTTGACTTTTGGTGGCATTTCCACTTTGGCGTCAGAAATACAATAGACAGCTTTTGAGGTCAAAATCACAAGGGACGTTATCACTTGGTCGGGGTTCTTGTAAGGAACAATATCGGCCCAGACAACATACAGCACCTCCTCACAGTCATAACCAACATGGGCAATGTTCAAGTGAAAATATTCAACCAGTTCTCGACCATCCATTTTGCCCAAGGCTTCCAGACAGGCCGACCTGCCCTTCACCAATTTATATAACTGGTTGCATTTAGTCAAATAATTCAGCTGTTCCTCAGAAGGCAGGGTAAAGGTTGGACTACGTATTTCTTGGTAATTGCGCAACCTTTCAGACGTTTCCATTTCCGGTGTTGAGGCCGTGGTATTATTGGCCGAGGTATTCTTATAATTGATAGTAAGGAAATCTTTGTTTATCATAGGAGATTGGTTACCCGCTGAAGAGGCTGCCGGTTTGTTGATTTCAACATCGTTGTCCTCGTTGGCACCTTCTGGTTCCTGCCGAGCAACTAACGAAAGCCTGTCATTATTCTGAGAACGTAAAGTGGTGAACTTCTCAAGGTATTCATCCCGGGTGGCAGAGCTGAGAAAATGAACGACTAGGCATTCTTCGTCTTTTTCCTGGTTCCCAAACTCCATGGACAAAGGGAAAAGCTCATAACGAACAGTGTCCATACGTTCGGGCAAGTGGCAGTGTTTTCCATTTTCCCGCCACTTGAAGCTGATGTTCCGACTTGTCATGATGGGATGGGCACTTAGTATGGCATCGCCTTCCTTTTCCTGTTCCTCTGGTGGTCGAGGATAGGAGGATTGGAAGTTGTTTAGCTTTAACAGGTACAAGTAATTTTCGGTCAATGCAAGAGTGCAAAAACGACTATCTGATATAACGAGTGCAGTGAAGCTGATATCTACCGAGTAAAATCCTTGCTTTTGTTCAGCCTCTTCAATGACGCTTAACAGTCGTTGCTGGCTGGTTGCATGAATTATTTCAGGTTCACCATGTTCTTGCCGGTTGTCCCTGTAACACCTGACAAGTGCATCAGAAAACTTTCTCACCTGCAACGACTCTAAGCCATAAAGCAAGAAAATACCAGTGGGACCAACAAAAGACTCTTCCAGTTGAATGAAATTACAACTGACCAATACCTGTTGGATGTTGCACAGGGGAAGAATGTAGTAAGTGAGGGTGTTTGGAACACCCGGGAAACTGGTGCTGTAGCCATGCAGATGTTCAATGAAGATATGTTTCTGGGTGAGGACAACACAGGCAGGGTTGATTAAATTTGGGTGGGTGTACTGAAGGGAGTAGCTCCAAAATAATTGCTCAACACACTCGCTGCCAGAACTCGTTGAACCAATCAGATTAGAAATGAGGCTGTGGCAAAAATTCCGGTTCATAGTGGAAGGTAAGTGTTCATATTTGTACACAAAGTTGCTAGCTTTCTGATGAAGGTCTTTAGGACGATATCTTGAAAGGAAAACAAAAATGAATTAGTAAAAGATTAGGCAATTTTGAGAAAATATGGGGCTACATTTTTTTTTTTTTTTTTAAAATATCTTTGTTGAATTCACATAGAATTTTTATTTTAAAAGAATTTGTATAACACACACACACACTTATGAATTATATTTTTTAATGACTGAAATGCTTTAAGACAAAATGCCAAAAAACAAAACAAACAAACTTTTCAATACTTTAAATAATTTAGCATCCAAAGCCAAGCAAGTCTACAATTTACATGAAAAGGATAGAAAAAAAGGACAATTTTTGCTGTGGATTCAATGTTATGGATTTGGAGGGGGATATATTCTGCATTGATAACAACCTTCTCATTATCATAAACATTATTTTTAATTGGTAGATGGGTTTGAGTTGACATCCTTGTTTTCTATTTTCTTAAACAGTAAAATTAGTCTATATTTCTGAGATGAGGTATTGTAACTATTTACATTGTTTGGACTGTTGTCCGCATTTTTATTGTTCATATTTATGATGTTTCAGCCATTGTACACTCCAGCCATCTTCAGGTGATATATGTTGGGATTTCAAACCAAACCGTTTACTTAGTCCACGGGGAGGAGATGGTTTTAGTTCCATATGCCATGCTCTTTCTGGATAATATCTCAATTTCCCTTTTAGTAACTCAGCTCTCCAAGTTTTTGTTCACTTCTGATGTGGCCAGGGATTGAACTCTCAACTCTTTGGGTTAAGTCACTGGATTACTTCCACCAAGATATTTATCCACTGGGCCATGTGTCCTCAAGTAATCTAGTAACTCACCACAGCAGAGGGAATTTGAGTTACTAAAGGGAAATAACTGAAACATCCAGAAAAGGCATGGCACGTGGAACTAGAACAATCTACCCCAATGTGGACTAAATAAAGGATTCGGTTTGAAATTCCAACATATATCACCTGAAGAAGGCTGGAGCATGCAATGGCCGAAACATTGTGAATATGAAGACAACAGTCCAAACAATGTAAATACTGAAATTAATATCAACTGGCCTAGATTGTCCTACTAGGCCAGTCATTATTAATTTCACTGTTTAAGAAAATACAAACAGATACATACCCGCTAAAAATAATGTTTATATTAACGAATACATTTAAAAATTACAGGATCTTCTAGAAATTAAATTAAGAGCAGATATATTTTTATTAGAAATATATTCAAATAACTTTGGATGTAATAAAATTCAAAGAACTGGAGTCTGTGCAATTCAGTATTGGGAAGTGAATGTGTAGCCCCAATGAATATTATTTGTGAATGAAAAGATGACTGAAGTGCACAATTGTGTTTCAGTGATTGGGGCTTTGATGTTGTCATCACTTGCACGTATAGGCTTAGTGGATTGAGGTTGTATTTTAGGTAAAATATTAGAAGCTCTTTAGCACACACTCAACCAGAAAGTAAAAAAAAAAGTAAAAAAGCCTGTTTGCTTTTCATCATTTGCCCTTGTAAATAATAATAATAATAATATGAAATACAACAAGAAAAAAATGTAATTCATATTCGATAAAGATCAAAAGCAGAATTCAAAAAAACCCACAGATACTCACTGATGCTTTTTATCAGAGTTTTGGGAGAAACCTGATAAAAAACCGCAATCAGATTTGGGGGAAGCCTGTAATGATTGGTCTATTTTCAAGGGTTCTTGGTCAGTTTTCTGTACACATGACAAGGGCTGGTCAGTTGGCAAGAAATCATTTGTTTGCTGGTCACTTGGCAAGAAATGGTTAGTCGAAACAAGCTGACTGCTCTCTACTACTGAGTTGTCAACATGGTGACACTGATCATTCTGGGGAGGAAAAATAATGAATGCTCAGATATTTTTAATATGAAACATTTCAGTTTATTTACATAGACCAACTCAGATTCCAAATATCGCTTCATCCCTCTAAAAATGAAGTCTATTTTATTAACTCACTGTATCTAAAGATTGTCTTAAATCAACTCTTGGAATTGCCTTGAGGAATATTTGAAAATACATTTGCAATGAGGCTTGGTTAGAAATCAGTTTTTGATTTACTGGTTTCATTTTGCAAATAGTGCAGGTTAATGAGTTTTACTTTGCCAAGGCAAATTTTAATTTCTAAACATTTATACATTTTGTTAAGGGGGTAGCAATGACGAAGATCAGTCTAGTTACAACTAAATGTCTAATATATGAGTAGAGACACAGATAGACATAAAGAGAAAGACAGAGAACTGAACTGAATCAATGATCGAAATACTAAAAGGCTACCTGTTTTAGAATTCTTCCTTCTAATGTTATCAAAAATGTTAGATTCAATGAACAAATAATTATGAAATTCTTTTTATTTACTTTACTAAACATTTATACTTTCTAGAATTTGAAGTCCTGGGTAAGACAATAAACTAAATCTGGCAACAAGGCCTCTGATCAGGAGGTTTTGAGGAGTGTGGAACCACCTTTTAATTGCTGGTGTTCCCAGGTCCACCCTAACCCAGGGTGGTAACACCTGTTAGGGTCCCAGCTATGGGCAAATAGGTGACCCCCCAAACTGGGGTTGAAACACTATGTAAGTGTAAAAATAGGTTTTAATACCAGCAATGAATATTTGAAGAAAAAAATTATTACCAGAAATATATTTTTGAAAAAAAAATATTACCAACAATAAAAATCTTGTCGGCATTAAATAACCCATAGAGGTTGATAATGCCGTAAAACAAACCAAACCAAAATTTGAAATGTTAAAAAAAAAAAAAAACAACAATAAATTACTAAATGTTCTTTCAATATGAGAATTTGTAGACAATAAAATAATAATAAAATAAAATAATAATAAAATAATCAAGTCAAAATTATTAATCTATACCATAAGATGAATACATTGATGTCTTTACCGGATAAAAAAAAATGATTGAAATTTGTTTTCTATGATTTATCAACCCTATGCAGGTTATTTAAAGCCAGAAAATATTTTTAGATTGTAAGAATATTTTTTGGAGATAATAATGGTTTAGTGATATACATATTACTAATTAATCCACAACTGGAGGTGGGGGGGGAGGATGGAGTCATATCTTTCACAAAAAGTATATCTGCACCTAAGTGAATATAATAAACCCAATGAGAATTGAAACTCAGTTCAATGATTAACAATTCCAAACCATTACATCACCCACACATTCAAGCTTACAGTACTTAATATTCCCAAGTAGTCACCCATCAAGGTACTGACCATGCTTGACACTGCTTAACTTCTGGATAAATGCTGCACATTAGTGGTTCTCATACACTGGCACATTTACATAAGAGAAATCCACAAAAATTCAATGATGACTGTATTTGTCAGGGATGCCTTAATAGCAAGACTTCCTTTATTAAGCTGACATGTTTATTATTTCAAGTCATTTAAAAAAAAAAAAAAAAAAAAAAAAGAACTATTTTAGTAATCTCCACTTTGTGAGAAATTCTTATAGCAAATGTAGGAACTTGAAGAGGTAAACTTTTGCGAAAGAGTTCTGAAAAATTGCAGAGAAACTTTCTAGTTTATTCCAATTGAACAAATGGAGGTTTTAAAACTTGATCAACAAAAGTTTTTAGTAAATGACCCAAGTTTATCAACAGTCACAAAAATGGGGACATTGTTTTTAATAAAGCGAAAAAGTGTTGAATTGAAAACAAGGTAAATGTGTGGCAAGAAGAGACAAAAAAAAAAAAAAAACATCCAAGCAAATATAGAAAAAAAAAAAAAAAGTAAGAAACTTTTATATTTTTTTGCAGGCTGACAGCAACAAAAACATGAGCCTCTTGATATTTTGATCAAATACTCCTCTTGACCATAAGGGGGCTATACAATCTTCAAGGGTTATTTAAGCCTTAACAAAACAATACAACCATGCATAGTAGTTACTCACTGTATTTGATTTGCCTGTACAAGTCTCTGTCATTGTATCATTGGAAGATTGTCTGATGTGTTGATTGTTCGCTACTGCCTCCTCCTTGTCTTCAGTTTTGGCTACTGCAAGTCTCTGGTACTGAGAAAGACTGTTAGCTAAAAGACTAGAGTGTTCAGCAATAGAGAGAAGTGTTCGTTTCCGTGCAATTTCTTTATCCTGGCCTAATCCTGAAAGGGTAAACAGACAAATAAAAATAAAAGTTAATTTCACATCAATTGCTAAAAAGAAACCATACCATTTAAGAAAAAAACAAAAAAAACAAGATGAACACACCACAGTAAGTGACAAAAATTATAATACAAGTCCTTTTCTATCAAACAGGCATTTGTATTGGTTAAGTAAGGTCAGCTTCATTTCTTTCCACATAAAAATCGTTTATTAAAAACCAGTGGACAAAAGAACCTATTTTTACTTGGAAGAAGGATCAATATACTTTTAAGAGTGATGTATGATGATATTAGTGGTTAATTGTTCCCTTAAAAGAGATGCAAGAAATTCAACAGAACTATGCCTAAGAAAATCATTGTGTATTTTACAAGTACAAAAGTGAACTCTGATGTAATCTATCATTTCTGATTAATATTTATTCTACTGCTGAACATATTATCAATAATGTTTACTTCAAGGCAACATTAATTTTGTATCATTAAAGTTTATAAACACATTAACTTTCTTTAGTAATATATCTTATACTAATTAGCTTTTAAACACATGAGGGGTACATAAAGATTTTTTTCTTTTTTTTAAGATATCTGAAGTATTTACTGTTTAAGGAAGCAGTAGCTGGGCTGCAAATCTAGAAAGATCAGAGATGTAAAAGCTTTATAGAAGCTAACTTTGATAACTCACCCCATTTTACAATTTTCAAAAAATAAATATTCAATACAAGGCCCAAGAGCCATTCAAGGTAGAGGGTCAGGAAATGATATTGTTGAATGGATGTAAAAGAGGAAGTGCAGATTATGAAGATATGTAGGATAGAGTTGATTCTAGAAGAGGTTAAGATTGTAGTGGTCAGGAAAGCATTGCCTTACAAGTCTATTCCACAAAGTAGAGGGTTTCTGTGTGGAATTTCCTCCTTACCAATGGAATATGAAGGGTGATTTGACCTTGTGTACATGGCATGGCAGATTTTGGCTGTAAAGATTGGAACTAAGGAATGTAGCTTGTGTGAACCTTTGCCATGGAAATAGTAATAGAGCAGTGAGAGGCTTGCAAGGTTTCCTCTGTGGGAAAGAGGTTGTAAAAGGCTGAAAATGGTTCATCACCCACAAGGCTGTGTAATCACTTTTGAACTCTGGAAAGTGAGGATTAAGCAGCAATATCACACACACACACACACACACACACACAAACAAACACACCGTTATGTATAATTACTGCAGCATAAAGTTTAAAAAGAAAAGATAAAAAAAAACAATTCACTGTCTAGAAGAAACCAGGTTTACCACTCCATAGTGGGCAGATTTTCGACAGAGTCAAATACATGAATTTAGAATGACAATCAACAGTGAAAACACCAATATACAAATTAACAAGATTTAATTACAACTATAGACAATAGATGAAAACATTTAGGCAAGAGAATGCATGGAAAGATGTTTGCTATACATTTCTGTATGGAAAGATGTATGTGTCATTTTGTGAGGGTAAAAGTTGAAATAAAATAAAGTTTTCTCTTTATTCTTTAAGATCAATTTGTTTCACTCAAGCAGTGGTATCTTTTGATCTATTCTTCTTTCTACAATGTAGCATTCATTATTTGGATATGAAGACTTGGCACTGTATAAGTCGTATATTCAGCACTGCAGAATTCATTATTCGGATCCTTCATCCAATTGAGTGTGTCGCATATGCCTGCCTTAGATGATTGCCACATTTCACCTATGCATTTGATGTAAGCAGCATAGTGTTGAGTTGAATTGGAATTCGTGTTTTATCATGAGATCCCTATTGCTTGACTGTAACAAGTGAAAAGAGGTATTATTCACACAAGATTCGTTTCCACATGATTCTGTGCGAGTTGGGAACATCATTCATCCTCTTCAATTTGGTAATTCTGCTTACACGATTTCATAGCTGGTCCAACTTCTTCAAGTTTCGTTACCCAACTGGCTTCTGTCGATCTTTTCCTGCTCAACATTTGTACTTGGTCACGTGATTCTATACATGTGCGAAAATGTATTTTTAGTTTTTGCTCAGACCTGTTGTCGGGGTTCAGCCCGTTTGACCTAATTGTTTCTGTAGTCAGCAACTACTATTACATATTTAAAGAGACAGGGGGAGTTCACATGTTATATTATTACAGATGGGTCACTAAGTGTAAAGTGTGTATAGTTATGGGTTTTGGGCTGGCTAAAGACACACACACACACATATATATATATATATATATATATATATATATGGTCTGATCTGACTCTCGTAAAGATAAAGTGAAGCAGGTGGAGTCAGCCCTGGTATAAGTAACCGACAATTTTTCCAGCCTATTTAGTAATGAATCATATATACGAGTTCCATTTGAGATTTAGGGAGAACATTTAACGTTTAATTGATTAAAGAGGATGGGAATAATTCATATTAGCTAAGAGAGGAAGTTTAGAAAGAGTTTATTTTAAATAAGAAAAACAAAGTAAAAACTATGATGGAACCAGCAGGATTCAAAAAAAGAAAAACAAATTTGACAAACTCGAGACAAAGGCAGCAAAAACTCATAGAATTTATGACAACAAAAACAAAAGGAATCATCAACCTCGACTGATGGAGAAATTGGCTAACAAGCCAAAATATGGGAAAATTAGAGAGAAATTTATCTGACTTTTGTTTTTAAACATGATTCATTAAGTGATTTGTCTTTTGCAGAGTTTTAACCAGATACAGGAATCCTTGTCTTGTTAGGAGAATGCCGAATCTTTAAAGATTAAATTATCTCCACATTTAAATTTCTCAGATTCTTTGAATTCATTCTTTGTAACAAATTTAAAAACAGTTCTGTAATTGTCATAGAAAAGGAAAATAAAAACTGTCCCCCATCACCGCCCTACATCTTCTTTCTATGGCAAAATCTTATGACAATTACTCACAAGAATAACATTGCTATCTAACCAACTCATACAGAATTGGATCAAAACAATTAGCTTATAGTTCTTTTCATGAGAAAAAATCCTGTATCAACAGTTTTCAAAATTAAAAAAAAAAAAAAACAAGCAATTAAATAAAAAGCCTTTCATAAAAGAAATGGTGTGAAAATCAAATATCTATCATTTGAAGGAAAACAAAAAAAAATGTCAAAACAAAAAGGCCATCATTTTTCAGACACACAGACCAATTGAGCTCAATGAAAAATATTGATTTGTTAAAGAATATGATAACATACACAAGATCTTTTGGAAGTGAACTGGAAAAAAAAAATATCTAGAAATTTCAAGTTGTTACTAAAACATTATCCTAAAGAAAAAATAAGAATTTACTTTAGAGATTGAAACATATGCCAACATGTGTATGTTTGTGTAGTCAGACAGAATGAACTTAGAAAAACAATAGAAGATCAAGTTGAGTCAGTAAAAATATAGCAATACAAATGACAACTAATTTGTTTTATTTCCTGGCTCCATATATTTATAATGAATAATAGTATCAATCAAAGAGCAGTGATGGTAGTCTATCAGAACTAATTGCCAATGTATATTTATACAGCAATATAACAGAAAAACACACACACTGCTTTAGATATATATATATATATATATATATATATATATATATATATATATATATATATATATATATACGATTTTTTATATATATCATTTATATATTATATGTGTGCGTTACTTATTGGAAAGCGCTCAATATCAGTGATAGAGCTAACATATTTAGTTGGATTGATGTGAGTTTGTGACCCTGGGGTTCATGCTATTTGCGATCATCAGACAAACTGACTAATTTTTAAATTTTGGATTTATATATGGTTGCGTATATCAGTGTTTTATGATTGTGGGAGGAAAAATTGTCGTCACAACACCACTCATACGTACACAAACATATATACATGCACATTCATTCATTCATTGACGTGCGCAGACATACATACATACACACACACTCACTCATTGGAGCTCACACAAACATAAACATATATGAACAGTGTGGAAGTGGGTATATAAGCGCATCCATGTGTTGTGTACATACGTATGCAATTGGTCACTGTATCAAATGTTGGATTGTGCAGGAAACATCTTTCATCAGTTGTAATGTCAATGCACAGACCGTTCGTCTATTTTGTTCACTGAATAATGTTTTCTTGCACACACATATATACGTATGCACACGCATTCACACATCTATCCATCTGTTTTCTTTTTTTTTATGATGGGGTCTGTGTAAGACTATTGCTATTATTTTTAATTTTTTTTTTATAATGCTGTTTTGATATTATTTTAATGCTGGTTATTTGCTTGTTTTTGGTGATTGCACGCATGTAAATGGTACAAACTCCAATTTATAATACTTATTAGTATTTATGCAGTGGTATTAATTTTGCTGGTGGGGGTGGGGAGTAAGTATAATTGTGGACTGATACGGTAATGGTAAATGTAAACTAATGCGGCAATGGTAATTGTGATGCGGTAGTAATGGTGGGGGGAGCAGGTGATGATAATAACAATTGTAGCAGCAAATAGTTATTGTAAATTGGTAGAAGTGATTGTAGTAATGGTGGTAGAATGGTAATAACAATAATTATAATTATTATGATGGTAGTTTGAACTAGAAAATAATTGATGGTGTTATGGTGTCAGTGGTTTCTCTTTTCGTGTTCATAGGGTCAATGGTTTGGCATAAATTGTGATAATAGGTATTTGTTTTCATGTGTGCAATTAGAAATTATTTCTGATCTTATGTTTAGTAATTTCTTTTGTTGGGTATGAGAAATTATTGCTACCTTTTCGTGTAAGCAAAGTAGGCATTTCTTTGTAATGTTGTTGTAGGCAGGTGCATTTTTCAATATTTTTCAGCTTATTCTTGGTGTAATATTTCTGTCTTTTAGATGCCATATGTATGTGGATAGTGTAGTGCTGTTTGAGTATTTTCTGTCAGAGAATGAAAGGCTGTGGTTGTTTTTGCTTTTCTTGAATGGTCCCTAAGTGGCACCGATGTAGTACATTGTGCTGTTGTTTGCACTTACCTCGGCTTTATATATTATATTCATTTGTTGGCAGTTTCCTTGGAGTGGACAGGTTTTATTTCTGCAGTTGCATTGAGGTTCCTTGGTTGTGTTATTGCAGGTTGTTACTTTTTGTTGTGGCTTTTTATTATTTGTGTTATATTTTTTGTGCAGCTGTAACTAATTTTAACGTTATTTTTGTTGAATATTTTTGCTAATCGGTTTGTTTCATGGAAGTGCTTTTCTATTAAGTTTAGGAATAATCGCAAATAGCATGAAACCCAGGGTCACAAACTCATATCAATCCAACTATATATATATATATATATATATATATATATATATATATATATATATAAGATCCAAACAACTTTAACTGATGTTGAAAATAAAAATTAGACCAACCAAAGACTTCCTCACCAAAATATAAGGGAGTGCTGAAAATTTCTTGACCACATCAGCAAACACTAAAAAAAAAAAAAATTACAATGTTTGGTAATTTGGTCAGGTTTTTTGAGAAGTGGGTTCAGCTGAGAATTTTCAGCACCCCTTTGTTATTATGAAGTTTATATTTTAAAACTATTTTGCCCCTATACATTAACCATCCAAATTAATTACTTGCTTATAAGGACAAAAATGTATTTCCATTATTAACACAATATTGTTGCAAACTTTATTTTTATATACTATTCATAATCTGTAATATTTTGATATATTTTGAATATCAAATGATATTCCCAACTTAGAAACATCACATAAAATATGGGAAGCAACAGTCAAAAATGCCACTGAATGAGTTTTTAAATCAAGAAAAATAAAAATGGCAGTTTGTTAATGATGATGATGATAATAATGATAAAAAAAAATATCTCTAGAAGATGGATTTGATAAATTTTGATATGATTTGTCAATTTCTGTTTTAATAATATCATTTTATTATGGTGGTTTCAAAGTCAATGGCTTTTATTAATGTTAAACTTGATAAAGTTGTAAAAGTTCCCAAAAGACAAAACATTGAACCAGTTTTTCAAATCATTCTATAAACAATGGATTTATCAAAAATTTACTACACTATAACTTTTGTTTTCAAGAGTTAGTTTCTTTTTCTAGTTTTTGTAGGTTTTACTTATGCACTGTTCTTTGTTAAATTTTGATTTCCAAAATATAGTTATCGAAAAATAATTTTCAAAATCCATGATTATGAACATCTGATTTTAAGAACTAGAGAGAGACAACTAATAATGGCCTAGATTTTGAGAACGTCATAACTATTGAAAATTATCATTTATTATTGTCAATTTTAGATCATTTTACTTGCGTCATCTTAATTACAGTTGCAATTAAGATAACAGATGTATTAGTAAAAAAAAAAAAAAAATAACAATTAGAAGTGTTTATTTTCCTACATTTCTTTTCATAACAGGATTCAATTTGTAGTTAGTACATGCTTATATAATTTGGGTATTTTGATGTGGTGGTGTAAAGGTTAGAAAGCTTTTCTTGCAAAATCATTCACAAATGAGTAGTGAGTTTGATCCTCAATGGGTTCCATACATCTGGCCTTGTGCCACATCTAAGCTATGTTCAGTAAACCACTATATAATTTGAATGCAGTTGTATTCAATCATCAAATAAGCAAACAGTCCAAAATAAATGTTGTCAGGCAAATTTCAAACATGGATTTGACACATTACTGCAGGCTTATGCAACATTCACTTCTGCTTAAAGCATTTAAGACAAAGAAATAGAAGCAGGCTTTGTTGATAGAAAGTTGTCAAAATTAATAAAGACATTCTCCATTTGTAAGTTATCTATTGTAAAAAAAAAAAAAAAAAAAATGCTTACAAATTGAAAAACTATTTTAAAAACCAAATTAATCCGATCCCTCTTCATTTCATCATACCAAGGGCACATAACTCATGGCAAATTAACTATAGACGAAATAAACATATTTTTCAACACATCTGTTTTCTTAATTCCTGTTCTTTTATTGTCATCACTTCTTAATAATGTTTTTCTTTTTCTCATATTCTTTCACATTCAGTAACCACTTGCATCTTAGGAGCTTAATTGCCTTGCTTGAGGTGAAACGATTATAAAAAAAAATGTAACCCCATAAAGACTAAAGAATTATCCAGGCATGTCAGGGGCAAAGTAGCAGGAAAGTATAGATCAGCATTAGGGTTTAAAAAAAAAAAAAGAAAAGAAATTTAATAAAGATCCCCATAGAGTAGCATTAAATCCATTATTCCAAAATTTCCAAAATGCATCTATGTCAGCAGCATAACAACATACCTGTAAAAGGAAAGCCACCCACCACAACTCACAGACCAAGCACAAAGAGTATAGAGAGGCAACAAACAAAATAAAGCGATAACCTTGTCTACACAAACATTTTAAGCCATACATTATTGGGCTTTATGAAAAAAAAAAAAAAAAATTGTTGCTTAAAGAATAAAAAATAAGAATCTAGTTTGGAGTTAGTTAAAAGGCATGTGAGAAACTCTCCACAAACATAGGTAAGAATATACTCTAGTACTCTGATCAGATGAGACTAAAACTGATTTTTTTCAGCTACCCCCCCAAAAAAAAACACTATGTCTGGTACAAATCTGACTAAAGAGAGAATGCCATTCTCACAGTGAAACATAGTGATAGCAGCATTATGTCAAGGGGAAGTTTGTTTTTTTTTTGTTTTTTTAAATAAAGTGTAATTAAAAAACTGGTGATGATTGAAGGAATGACATATGCTGTCATATAGAGAGAAATTCTGGAAGAAAAACAGTTTCAGTTTCCTGAGATTTGAAATGAGGACAGAAGCTCACCTTCCAGTAGGGCAATGACACTAAAAACAAAACTTGAATGGTTTAGGGGGAAACCTTTCAATTTCTTGAAACGGCCTAGTCAAAATCCAGACCCCAGCCACAAATCCAGCTGAAAATATCTAAGGTTGTTATACATCAACTGAAACCACCCGATTTGAATGAGTAAGTGCCAAGACATACCCAAAGAGGCTTATAGTTTAATTGCTGTAAAAAGCAAGTCGACAAATTTCATGAGGGGGTAAATAATTATGTATATGGAATATTTTTTTAAATATTATTTCTTGTTTGTTTCATAATAAAAAAAAATATTTTGCATCTTCAAAGCGGTAATCATATTATGTAAATCAAATAATCTCTTTATGTGCCATGTCCTTTCAGGAGGCAACCAATCATGACTCTCCACAACTTCCCTTCTAGTTGCTTTAATTCTTGCTCTTGTACAGCCTATCTTTATCTTTTAAACTCATCAAACAGGTTACCATTTATCCCCGATTCTCTTGCCTTCAAAGTGTCCCTATGAATGTTAAATTCTCTAAGCCTTCTTTCCTTATTATGTATCCCAAAATGTTGTCTCATCTCTGATCATCAGTTCCTTTGTTGTTCCTGTTCTCTTTTAAATTTCTTTCTTTCTCACAGGCTCACTACTCCAGAGTTTTTTCAACATATCACATCTTTCCTTCATCTGTGAGGAAATTGCCACACAGCAGATTAGGTATTATATAGCAGAGTTCACAAACCCCAAATCCATTTTAATTCCAGTTTAGAAGAGAATCGTCATCATCATTGGCAGAACACAGAGTTGAATACTGCAGTGTTCATAGATATTTCCTTCAACGTGAAATGAGCCATATATTGGATTTTAAGAAACGTCTGCAGACACAAGGTAGAAGGGTTGCGGCTTTTTGAGGGGGGGCTCTCTTCATCTCGTCTCTTTTTGGAAGAGAATAAAATAGAAAAGGAAAGAGGAGCAAACACTTGCACAAGGGCTTGTTATGCCAGCTTCAATATGTAGCAGCAAATGCCTTATCAATGATAGAAAGTAGCTCTTCTTTGTTAAGATATTTAACTATTCGTACTAACAGTATTTATCTTTAATGACTTCATAGTGACTTTCCGAAATTGTAACAATCAATCCAATTGGTGATGAATGGTTACATTGCAATATAGATTTAAGATAAATAAACAGACAGATCAGTTGGGCCTCTTCAGTAACTAAACTAAATTTACTAAACAAAAACAACAAACACTACCAACTTTATTAGTGCATTTAAAAAATGCAGAGCATGACAATTTAAGAATTTCAGCAAGCATTGATTATCTCACATTCCTCTAAAGAAGACAAACAATTATGACAGATCCAAAGAAGAAGAGCTCCCACCTAGTGAAGGTTGGACATGACATGTTGTTAAGCGACAGCAGTGGCAGACACAAGAGAGTTGGAACATGAAAATGATTAGCCAGCCAGGGATGTACATGCAAGTGGTCAGGGTATATGAGAGTGAACTAGCAAATAGAGGCTTGGGGTTCTGGAATCAGAGAGATATTGAGAGACAGATGAGAGGGAGAAGGGAATGAGAGGAGGAATAGTTTAATGGTTGGACTAGCATTAAGCAATTGATACATACTTGATTACCTGGCAGAGGAGGTGTTGGTAGGGAGTCTCCCCCGGTCTCAGTTGCATTGGTCCCTGATGATGGCAACACCAGACCAACAGGTGGGGAACTGGCCACTGGAGGAGTGGAGGAGGAGGAGGAGGTGGTTATTGTTGAACTGAGTGGAGCTGTAATCAGGGTGGGATTCCGTGGACTGGAATCTCTACTAGCACAGTCCATATCAGAAGCATGCTACAAATCAAAAAGGCAAATAGTCAGACTAACATTGATCCTCTTAACTTTCTTTTTATATACCAGCAATATACTTACAGACTGAAAATTTGGACAATAACTAAGAAAAGCTTCTTTTTTTTCTTTTTTTAGTGTGCTATGCATCTAAACTAGTGACATGGGTTTTGTTTTTGACTACCATCTCCACAGATGATGGATAAAAAAATGAAATAAAAAGAAGAGAAACAGATTTAGTAAAATTCTTCTAACAGAGAAAGATCTACAAGATGATTAGCAGACAAACCAGAAATATCAGGCATCTTTGGATGCTTACAAGAATAACCTCTGATAGAATAAAAATTTTGGTTCTTTCATTCTTTGGAGGTCACATGACATTAGCAAGGGATCACTAGAGTGTGGATTAGAGGAAAAAAAACTTTTTTTCACAAATCAAAATTTACACAGTGAAATTTATTTTTTCCCTAATTGTTACTTGACTCACTTTTAAAAAAGAAATTGTGTAACCCAACCAACCATTTTTTGTATTTTTAGAAAATGAATTTGAAAAGTCAACTTTTCAAATTCAATTGTTCCTCGATTCCCTTATTTTGGATTTTTGTTACTTACTTTATTTGGCAACATCTTTCGAAGTTTCTCTTTGTTTTCTTTAGATTTTTGCAATGCTAAAACCACAGCCACAGTATCCAATTCCTTCTGGGAAGGCTTCATGTTGTCCAGGTAGATCTGCAGAACAGAATAGAAATGTACATGGAACATTCTTAAAAATACCAAAAACTGAATTACTAAAGAACAATTCTTTCTGATAATATGCATTTCAATGAAATTTCTATGAGAATTAATTTACACATGACTTTAGCAAGAAGAAAGTTTAGTAGATTACAAAGCTAAAAACTTAAAATGTAATTTTTGTTATTATTGAAATATAAATATATCTGATTTTATATATATATATATATAATGTTTCATTAAAAACGACTAACAAGGTACTGCAATTTAGTATTTTTATTTAATTTTTCTTGTGTTCTTATATACTTTTCTTCTTTTCTGAACATAAATTATGTAGAAATTGTCCAACTGTTCTGTATGTCCAAGCACTTTCAACTATACTTTTAATCATTATCTCATTTAAATACACATGGAAACCTACCAAATTCCATCTGCTATATACTCATTGATACTGCAAATATAATAGCCTCATCCATATGTAAAAAAAACAAAAAAAAAACAAAACAGAAGCCTTATTAATAAAAAAGAAAATGCTAACACTCAATAACATTAATTATGAACATGGTCTCAATGTGCTGACCATGTTCAGAAAAGAAAACATTCTTATAATTCTAGATATAGACACAAAACAATCGATACATTCAGTTAAAAGTAAAAATAAAATCATTTTTGATAATGGCTAAAAGTATAGCCGAAAGTGCTCACACATACAAAACATTTAAACAATTTCTATAGAATTTATGTCCAGAAACAAAGAACATTATAACACAAGAAAAATTAGATAAAATACTTAACCTTGTCAGTCATTTTTAATGAAACTTGTATAAAAGAGGGATTGCTGCCCAAGTACACAATATATATATATATATATATGTGTGTGTGTGTGTGTGCAAAAGGATGAAGCCATATTAAAATGTAAACAGGTGTTAGTTTGCTGTACTACTAGAAACAAGTATAACTGATAACATTATGGACCTTACAACTTGTGATACATAATATTATTTATTCTGATGTTTAAAGTCTAACAATGTCAAAAAGTCCAACAAGTTATAAGACCAGCACATCTTGTTATTGTTTGATAATAATGAAAGCAAATACGAGTCATGGGAAATGAAGTTCTTGGTTTATTTGTGACTTCAAAAGTTGCATAATGTTATATTACCAAAGCAAGATTGTAAAGAAGTTGAAAATTGCACCAAGATTAATATGAAAGCCTTTTAAAGAGTTTGTTCAATGTCTAAACACTAGCAGTAGCTATTTGTCATGCTATGGTATAAAAGGCATTGGAATTCTTGATGAAGCACTTTGTATCATGAAGATACAAGATTATATCACTCTACCCAAAATCCAGTACTTTAAGGAAATCATCAATGGCCAGTATTGTTTGTTATATGCTAAGGGCAAGAAGAAGAAAAAAGAAAAAAAAACAAACCATCAAAAGAAATGTTGACAGTGTTGAGTGTGATGATGATTTTGAAAGGGAATTCTGCTGGAATTTAAACATTCTATCAACCTTTGTTATTCAAACAGAAACAAAAATTTCATTTTTGACAAATTTTTCAATTGAATATTAAGAGATTTTGAGGAGACAGGGTGAATGCCCAAAGAAGAACAGGGAGATAAAAATGAAAGGCTAATAAAAACAAATTAGTGTAACCTGAAAATAAAAAAAATAAAAAATTTCTCAATTTGATTTTTTTTAAAGCTTATCAACCCTTTGTGAGTTACTTAAAGCAAACATATATTTAGGATTGCAAGAATAATTCTTATTTTTATTTTGCAAGTGAATATTGCATTAACACTTTTTTGACAATAACAAGGATTTTCTTTTCTGATAAGAGCCCTACTCTTTAACCCATAGCTGAGAGAGAAATAAAATAATAAACCAAAGAAAAATGTATTATATGTGGGGCAAAGAAGAGCATACAGCTGTGATAAAATAAAAAGATTATACAAGAAAATGTTGCCAATTCTCATGAAATGAAAATCTATTATCAATTTTTTTTTTATTGTTTGATTGCAATGTGACAACCAAATCAATCTACAAGTTGAAAGTCATATAGTTCTGTAATGATTTTAACCCTGAAAATCAGTTCATCAGATTAGCAGAGAATAGAACTACTAACGTCATTTTGTTAAAGGGAAATGCTCGTGTTTCTCCGATGGATTTTAAATAGGAATATAAAGAGTTTTTTTTTATCCCATCATCAAAAAAGGATAATTTCAACCATGAAAATCATGTTGTCAGTTTAACAGAGTAGAACTCCATTGAAGTGTTAATGTCATTAGCTGCTTAGTATCATTTGTTCACCAGATGGATTTTCAACGTGCTCATCTAAATTGATTGTGAATTGTGTATGGAACAACCTGAATGCGTTGCATTTAGTGCTAAAAGTTATGACACATACACGTGTAGACTAAAAACATCATTATACTAAAATGGGAAAGAAATCTACTGCATTCTAATTTGATTAATGAAGACTTTATCCAATCACTTCTCAACTTTTCTCAGCATCGAAACTAAATATATTGGAGCTAAAATTATAATTATTGCTATTTGACTTGACTACAGAAATGTTGTTGACCAAGTCTGGTATACAACATTGTAAAGCCAGATCAATTCTTCGTGGAATGGATATAAATAAAGGAGATATGAACTGCGCTGAATCAGTAGCAGACAAATTATATAGGGAAATAGTTGGAAGTTTAATTTATGTTATGATAGCTACTTAATCAGTTAATTTGTGTTGTGACAAAATTGTTCCAACAACTGTCAAAACCTGACATTGTCTGTCCTAAAGACAGACATTGTCTATTTAACCCATATAAAAACAGATTTGTGCTATCTGAAACATCCAAAGAATCAAAAGTTAATTTTCAAAAAACCAGTTAAATCAGAGTTTAATTGTTTTGTTTTGTTTTATGGCATATCAACCTCAATGGGTCAAGAGTTTAATTGGGTTTCTCTTACACAGATTGGGGAAAATGCTAAAGAGCATTACAGTATTACTGGTTGTGGTTTTCAACTCTCACCAAATAGTTCTTGGATTTTTTTTTTTTATTCATTTCACCCCACGCAAGGCAACAAAACCATGAAGACACAAGGGTTTACTGAGTGTTAAAGAATATAAGAAAACGAAAAGCATTGAGAACAAGAAAAGGAGAGAAATCAAGAAAACAGAAGATGACAATTGATATTGCATTTAAATTTTTAAAGGTCAAAGTTAGCTGGGAAGCATGGAGCTGGAAGAGAGTTCCACAAGTCAGAAGTGTGAGAAAAGAAACTATCAGCATAGAACTCACAGTTTCACCTGTTAAGATGATGAGACCTTACTGCTAATCTAATAGTATGCTTAAATTCATAAAGTCTATGTGCCAAAGAGAAAATGTCATCAGAACAACTATCACCAAAATATATATAGAAAAGGAACAGGGCAACTACACTACGGTGGTGAGAATGTGAGTGAAGCTAAGATTCCAGATCAGGACCAATAACATTGCAGATTACTCTTTGTATTTTATCAAGAATTTCTAAATATATAAAAGGAGCACCATCCAAAGAGCCAATATGTTAAGATAGATTCTGGAAAGAAAAAATTGTCTAGTACAACAGAGTGAATCAACTTTCCTATCAGCAGACCTAGCAATTGATTCCATATAATCTTTCCATTTCAGATAAACAGAAAACTTTAGCCCAATAAAGCATGACAAGTCACTCTCCTAGAGGTTAGCATAAGTCATGCTGATGGAAAGCAGAAAGGGTTCACTAAGACGATTAATAGAGAGTAGATTCATTTTGGAGGCATTAAAGTTAACAAGCCATTCCTTGCTCCAGTTAACAACAGATTGTAGGTCATTTTTGAGATTAGCTGCCAATTTGACCTTATCTATCTGATCAGATTTACTATTAAGACAAGAGCAAATGGTTGTGTCATCAGTGTGGATAGAGAGTTGAGAACTTGATGTCATCAAGAAGGCCATTGATGGAAATTAGGAACAATGTAGGTTCAAGGATAGCGCCCTGGGAGAGGCTAGCATTAATGCAAAAAAGATCAAAAAGAGTGGCCATTCAAGACAATTTTCATTTCTTGGAAAAATTAAAAAATAACAAAATTGTTGTTGCACTATTATTGGAAGAGTTGGAACACACTTCCTATAAATGGATGTGTTGGAATATAAACACATGATCATTGCAATCATGCTAATGTGTGATCATGAGTCCTGTAACCCCTGAGGGTCATAGGGGCACCACACGTATTGCAGATGTAGTAGAAGTGGGTGTGTCTTGTGCAAGATAGCCCAAGCCCAACCCCCTCCAGCCTGGTTTAAATTCAGAGTTTTCAGCCATTGTACGATCTGGCCTTCTTCAGGTGATACATGGCCCAGTGGATAAAGGCGTTGGTTTGATCCAGAGACAAGACCCAAAAGAGATGTGAGTTCAATACCAGGCTACAGCAGTGGTGAACCAAAACTTGGTGAGTTGAGTTAAAGGGAAATAACAGACATCCAGAAGAGTCATGGCATGTGGAACTAGAACAATTTACCCCAGTGGTTTTGGTTTGAAATTCCAATTACCTGAAGAAGGCCAGAGTTTACAACATCCAAAATGTTGTGAATATGGCAACGAAGATGAGGATAACAGTCTGAATAATGTAAGTAATCATAATACCTCATCTCAGAGATATAGACAGATATCAGAGTTTTCCTTTTCCTAGGCCGGTTGCCACCCAAGGCTATAGATCCCAGTCTGTCCTACTATTTATATGTAACTATGGGGAGAAGTGTTTCCCAAGGATATTATCACGTAGAATGTAATGAATTTGACTGGAATTCAAACTCTGCTTTTCAATTCCTCAATCCATTACTCTACCATTACTCTGTGATAATTTGAGTATAAAGTGTTAACTGCTATCATACCTATATTGGACAAAGCCTTATAGAAATTTGCATTAGTTGACTGCTAGAAATATGAATATTATAACTGACAACACTGTGTATACGTCTAATAATGCCAACATTTCATTTATTTTTCTGTCAAGCCTAACAAAATATCTCTAGTTTCAACAAACTATTAGCAATTTTAATAAATATTCAGAGAGCACACTAACCATTTCCATTTAGAATTTTATCCAAAATAGTAATAAAAATATTTCTTCAAATGGCCAGCAAAGTTTCTTTGATTTTTAAAATGTAAATATTGATTGCAAACAAAAGTGAAAAAACCACATGCAATAAAAAATATTTTCTTATGAAAGCAGAAAAAAAAAAAAAAAAAGTTGTTACCTCATTTGCCCTTTCTGAAAACATGGCCAGAACTTTAGTCCGATAATCTAACACAATTGTAACAGAATTGCCAATCAAAGAAAGCTTTTCCATACAAGGCAGTCCACTGATATGTTTGACTTCATTGATCTGCAAGTAGATATATGCATACAAATCATACAATGTTCAATATTATTTGACCTGCAAAAAGAAAACAATAAATTTAATGATGGGGTCTTTTTTTCTTTAACTCAACAAATATGGAAGGGAAAAAAAAAAAAGACCCAGAATGCTGGATCCATTTCCTCTCTACAATGAGCACCTCACCCCAGAAGGGAGGAACTCAGGGAAATAAACTAAACATGAAATCTCACAGGCATGAAAATTTTGGTTTCATAAAGACTAACAATATAAAAGTCCTATGTTACTAATTTCTTCCTTCTTTTAAACTTTTGACAGTATTAGCCTTTTCTTTGGGCAAAGCTTAAAAAATCTGACACCTTCATTGGAATCGGAAACTCATTTCAAGAGATATTTAAGGGTAACTGATTCAGAAGAAAGGCTGAAATGTTTTCATTCTCCAAAATTGCTGTTAATATCTGATCCTAAACTAACAGTACAAATTGAGTTTCTTGTTATGGAGAAAAAAGAAAATTCAACTTGCTCTTCATTTTTTTTCTTAATTTTAGACTTCCATACTTTAAAATAATGGACATTTAGCTTTTGTTGGGCACTAATGCAAAAGTCCTTAATACTTTATCAGACTTGAAATGTTGACCTGGTTTTAAAGATAAGAAAATTATCAAAAAATAAAGGCAAATATTTAGGGGAGGGGGTGTAGACACAAAATTAATCTATTGGCTATGCAGTAACATTTTCTTATTAATATTTTTTTTTTTAATTAATTCACTCCAAGCAAGGTTATAATGTCACTAAGATGCAAGGTGCTATTGAGAGTGAAAGATAATGAGAAGACTTTAGAAGGGACTATAAACCCAATCCTAAACAGGAAACAAGGGCTAAACCTATACTCTTGTTGAAAAGACTGGGGAGGGGTGTGAACTGGATGATAGATGAACATATCTACTCCTATTTTTATAGAATCAACAGAAGAGGAGTTGGTTCTTAAGCACCTTCCTAATAAGATTATTGACATTTATTTGCTACTTGAAGGTCCAGAAAACGACAAGAAAAAAAAGGGACTTCCCACATCAAGGAGAGAGATAAACAACAGAGACAGGATAAAACATGGATAGTGATTTCTTTCACATAAGAAAATGGAAAAAGAGGACGTTTCTTTTATTTCCTTCTTTTCAGAAACAAAAAAAGGTGAAAGAATGTAAGAAAGGAAAAGGTCAGAGTAGGAAGAAAAGAACAAATAGCACTGAATACACTTACCTCTGAGATGTCATTGTTGCTGATATCCAGATTGACCAATGAAAATAACTTTGACAAACCTATCAGGGGGGTAAATAAGAACACAAATTTCATGAACATTTAAAAAAATAGACAAAATATTTGTGTCAACGAAAAAATCAAGAAAAGACAGGAATTAACAGTGAGAACTTTCATTAAAACAATAAACAAATGAAAAGTGAGATTCTTTCAAATGTTGGGAAAGTGGAATGAATAAATAAAAAAAAAAAAGATGGGGTTAAAATTTTCCTTCTATTTTATTGAAAAATGCTTCTTATCAGTTCAGATAAGAACATAATCTGACTTGTAATTACCCAAGTTAAAAAGCAGAATGATAACTTGATGAAATCAATCTTTACCTTGCAAGTGTCTGATTCTGTTGCCAGCCAAATTTAAAGTTTTCAAGTTACCAAGTTTAGTATGCAAAGAGTCCAGCTGGTGGATGTTATTGTGGGACAGGTCAAGAAAAGTGAGCTGACTCAGCCACTGAAGGTTTTGGATGGTCTCAATTTGGTTATGACTGAGGTCTAAATGTTCCACTCTCGGAAGCAATTGCTAGAAAGGAAGGAAAAAAAAAAAAAAAAAAGAAGAGATAAAATACATGACAATAAAATGTGATTGTTGTTTTGGAGGTGAGAGGAAGTGGATAGACTGCTATCAGAAACTAGAACATTTGCTTCTATAGCTTTCTGCAATAATTTAATTATTTGTTAAACAAAGGTCAGTAAATTTAGAACAAATTAAAGCATTCAAGTGTATATCACACAATTTTTTACTTTTTGGTGTTTTTTTTTTCAAATAGAGCAACAAGAAAATATAAATTGTACAAAAATTATTTTTAGAAAAACAAACAAACTTGGTAATGTCACTCTAACAAGCTTTATTTAAATAACATTACGTTAAAAAAATGCTTTCTTTTGATACCATTAAGAAAGAAATTGTAATGTTACACACATCAAGGAAATATTAAATATATAAAAGAGAAAGGAATTTCAAAATATAAACAGGGAAAAGGCTATTGTAGAGCACAAGTTCATTAATAAAATCATTATGTATGTAGAAAACACTGGACGACTAAGACAATGTCTTTTTGTTTTCCATGATTTAAAATAATTTCAAAATGATTTCCTACTATATGCCATTTATTATTTTGATGGAGCAAACACAAGTGTTTCTTGGAAGAAAGTAAATGTCAATGTATACTGTAACATACAAGTTTTACAAAACTACAGTGGTAGTGGGGGGGGGAATAAAAAGCAAAGTAAACTTACCACACTCTCGTCAATGCTCTTAATATTGTTATGGCCTAAGTCTGCTTCTATTATATGGTTCCAGAAAGCAACAATTAATGTCCCATCTTCATCTCGCCAATGAGAGAATTCTTGGAGAAGTAAATCCTGAGAAGAAAATTTATCAAAAGTAAAACGAAAGAAGACCATACAATTTTATGGCAGGTTACGAAGTGTAAGCCGTATTTTCTTTGTGTATGGACAATTAAGACTAGAACAAGATTGTTCATTGAATTCAGTCAGGTTAAACAGAATTTTGCAATTGAAATAAGGAGTAAATCATATCAATACATCTCCCATGAAATATTTTTATAGCACAGCTGAGTGTTTGTATTCAAACAGAACAATAGTCACTGATTTAATGTCTTACAGCACATTTATCCCAGATTTGAGGTGTTGCTCAGCTTGCACAACAATCATATATTAGCAAGTTGGTTTTTTTTTTCCAGAACAGGATTACAGGCCACATCTAATTATTTGTTTTTTGCCATTTTAACCCATATTAATGAAGAGGAGTAGATTCTGTTCCTAATTTAGAATCGTCCTTCTCTTAGACTGCTTGTTGATGAAGGAAAGAGAACATAGTCCTCCATATTATTTTCATGTCTTCCCCCCAACAGCAGCAGTGCATAACAAACCCAAATTGTCTTGATCTAAATTTGAACTCTGATTGCCATTTCCATTTTTCATGGTCTTTCACCATTAGTTCATTTATACTTCCAGGAATATTCATCAGCCATTAAAGTCATTTAGATGATTCACAAATTATGGTAAGCATCCCTTTTCTTTTCTTTTTTTTTAAAATGATATTCATCCTGTACAAGGACTCCTCAAGATAGAAGGTTACAGAGTAAGAAGCATAGTTTATAGGGATATGTGGGGAAGATAACAGTTGACTTTAGACCTCAACAGATTAAGATTATAGTGATCAGGGATATGCATTTAGTCAGAGTAAGGCAACATGTTGCAATTTCTTGCTAAGTATTTTGTTTATTTGCATTTTGTTATTTCTTCTTCAAGTATTACATACATTATTGTTATTCTGTTCACATGTCAATATCCATGAACCTTAGATAAGTATGTAGTAACAAAAAAAAAAAAAAAAGGCTCAAGAAAGTTTAAGAAGTGATGACAGTGAATGATAAAGTGTGGATTTCAGATATATATCAAGGAAGGGTTTCATTACGGTCTAAATACTTGGTGGGGGGGGGCGTAATTAAAAAAACATTTTTAAAAATTAAAATTTTTAATTATTAGGTAAGTATTTACAGATCTGTAGAAAAAATAGGATTATTCTGTCTCCTTGAATATTGTTCTCTTTATTGTCCTTTCCCCTCAGCAATCTTTTCTTAGTTTCCTTCACTCTTGGTAACCATCTTACATCTTAGTGGCTTTATCATCTTGCTTGGGGTGAAATGATTAAAAACAAGAAAAAAAAAGTTGGGTATTACAGAGATTAATAGAATTTCCTGTATTTTCTTTTGAGGAAGGTACTCACATGCAATTCCCACAAATACAGATATCAGATGGTCATCAATTTTTATCTACATTTAAACCTGGAAATGTTTTTAATCCCTTTTGATGTTCTGAACAAAGAAACAATGCAATCAATTTTGGGAATCTTACATTCAAACAAAATACCAACTGAACAAAATAAGGAATTTTCCAAAGACTTACTTTAATTTCCTTCATGGAATGGTGAGCTTCAATTTTCTGTAATGTCTGTTTGATGGTTTCAAACCCAGTGATTAGCATCGAATTACAATTCAAAATCTGAAAGAAGAGAAGCTTAAAATATTATCTAAGAGAACAAAGAAACCAATTGATGAATTTACCCTGATGTTTGACAAAAGGCCTCAACAAATTTCATTTTCAGCCTTGAAAATCAGTTTTACTTGAAAATTCAACAACAAAAGAAAACTTAATTATTATGTGAAATAATCTGGATATTTACAACACATTTTCACTTAAAATCTAATCTTGTAAATTGTTCAAGCTTTTTTTTTTTTAAATTATTCAAGTGATATTCGCACAAGTAATGGAAAAAAATAGAAAAATGATTTGGGAAATAATTTTAGTAGACATTCATTAAGCCATGAAACTTGTCAGAAGTGAAAAATATTGATTTCTTACCATTTTAGAGAGTGTGTGTGTGTGTCCTGTTCTTAATATCAATAAAGTGTAAAATCAATCTGAGACTTTTACAGAGCTCTTTAAACTTAGTAGTTTGTTTACAAATGTTAAGTTTTAAAGTGTGCTTTCTTTGTTGGCATCTGCATATGAACACAGACTTGTTTTTTTTTAATTATTTTACAAAAACATTTTTTAAATAAAAAATATTGTATATTTCCCTGTATAAGTCAACCTTTAGATAAAACAAGGTAAAAAAATATGGCAAATTCTCATGAATTTATCAATTACAAGAAGACTAACTTATTGATTATATAAAGATGATGAAATGTTACTAGAAATTCAAAATAAATGAAATAACAAAAATGATTCTATATCATGTTTTCCTACACATGTCCCCTAAAAGAGAAACTATTGTTTTGTTTATGTTTCATCATGTGATTTCTTGCAAATACTGATTCTTCTTCTTCCTATTTTTTTCCTATATCTAAACAGTTACAAACAGCCTGGGATACGAATGGCCATTTACTTATACTTCATCAACAATCACAAATTACCGCTGACAATAATGCAAGATAATAGTACATTCGACTTTCAACATTTGTTGTTTTATTAATATTGGTAACTTAATGGGAAATAAATAGTTTTATAATATCCTAAAAGTTTTAAATGCAACTATCATAAAAGATTGTATGTAAATTTAAATTGTGATATTATTTAATACCAAAATGAAAATGAATATTATCATGTCATCCTAAATGTTATTACTGCCGTAATTAACACTATCATGATGATTATTGAAAGTTTAGTGAAAGATAAAAGTTGCTGTGAACACAATCATAACTTGATTTTTTAAGAGTGATTTTTGGGATTTAAAGGTCACCTTATATGCAGAAATGTATGGTAATTATATATAATTTTCAGTATTTTAAGAAAATATTTTAAACTTTGTGGCAAAGTACATTTTTTTTTTTTTACAAAAAGATTTAAGTCGTTAAAGAATAGATGTATACATTTTTAATTAAAGAAAAATTTACATAAATTAACAAAGGCATAACAAATATGTAAATATCATTGACATAAGCACATTTTCAGGGCACAGGGCATTTTTAAATAAAAAAAAAAAGTAAGTATTTGTCTCAAGGATGGATAAAAGTGTTGGTCGAATTCAGTGACTTGACTCAAAGAGTTGTGAGTTCAGTACCTGGCTACAGTAGAAAAAATCTTGGAGAGTTGAGTTAACAGGGAGATAACCGATACTGAGGTATCCCAAAGAGGCATGGCACATGGAACTGGAACAATCTACCCCAGTGAACAAAGTTTGAAATTCTAATCACCGGAGTGTACAACGGTCAAAACGTCATGAATATGGCAACAAAGACGATAAAAAAGTAAGTGCAGATAACTCTGTAAAAGGCCAAGGATCTATTTGACACTATTTTGATATTATAAACAAGATGCCCTCTTCTAAATCAATAAAAGACTAATATTTTTCAATTTTGACAAATGTCATGGCTTGAGGAAAGTCTAATGAATGCAAAGCAACAAAATTTATTTCAGCAAAAACTTTTCCCTATTTTTTTTAACAAATTGGCCAGTCTATTTAAGTAGTACTTTGATGTACAGAAATATTCTAGTGAGATGTTGAATAAATCTGTAGTCCAATCAGTTAATAATATACAAAAATATCAACTCCAGATTTTTCTTATGCAAAGTTACTGCTAAGTCATCCACATGTCGTTTTTTTAATTTTCACCCAATACAAGGCCCAAGAGCTACTCAAGGTAGAGGGGGGTTTACTGTGTGGACAGGAAATAGTATAGGAAATAACAAGTGCTAGAAGCATAGAGCTGAAGTAGACTTTTAGAAGGAACCAAAAACCCACTCCTAAACAGGAAACAAGATAAACCTCTAATCCTGTTCTAAAGACAGAGGAGAAGTTTGAACCGGGTGAGAGGCGAACATATTTACTCCTATTGGTGGAGGAGAGAAAAAAAAAAATGAAATAGTGAATAAAATTTAAGAGTTCAAGTATAGACATTAGGAGTACAGAGCTGAAGTAGACTTTAGGAAGAACCAGAAACCCAATCCTAAACAGGAAATCAGGAATAAATCTCTACTCCTGTTCAAAAGACCAGGGAGGAGTGTGAACTGGATGATAGGCAAACCTATCTACTCCTATTAAACGCACCACTTTGAATACTGGCATTATAAATTTACTGAAGACTAAATTCTTGAATCAAGTTTAGGTCCGAGTTAATAAAAGAAGATAAATTATGTAAGTTTTACATTGATTTGAAATTCAGTGTATATTCTAGTTGAACTTCCAATTTTAAAGACAGTTTAATTTACTTTTCCAATTTCTCAATAAAACTCATTTGAATATTTCCAACAAGAACTGCTAAGATCACAAAATTATCAATGGAAATGATACCAAAAAAAATTTGTTCTCCTTTAAAGTTAATTTTGCTTTGTGTATGAATTGTTACATTTGGCCGAGCTCGAAATATGAGAAAAAAGCAGAAAAATCAGAAACATTAAATAATGCTGAAATCAATAGAGAGGGTTGCGTCAATAAAGCTTTGATATTAATTTATCAAGGACTTTAGAAAAAGATGGCATGAAGAGATACCTCAAGTGTTTGCAAGGATTTAAATAATGTCAGATCAAAGCGCAACTCATTCATGTCAATGTTGCTGCTTCCAACAGGATCACGGCTACCACAGATCTGAAACAAGATTAGAATTCTAAGATTAAAAGAAAAAAATAAATAACAAGACAAAAATATAAACAAGCAAAAAGAAAATGTTAAATGTTAAAAACCAAAGTTAAATGGAAACAAAATTCTGAATAATTTTACACAGGCATTATTGTTTATACTTCTTTTCAAATTTCAATCAAATGATGTGGAATAGTTTTTAAGCTCAGGATTAAATGCTTCAATTCTGATATAAAGTTTACATTCAATGCAACAAACATAATTTAGGAAATGGAATATGTTAAAATAACAACAGTTTGACAATTTAAATATCTTGATGGGGCAGGTACAGAATTTAAGTAATTCTATTAAAAAAACACAAAAAAGAAAAAAAAACAGAAGCCCCCCTACCTAAAAAAAAAAAAAAAAAAAAATTTATTCAAAAAGGAAAGAAAAAAAAAAATCAAGTTAGAAAAGTACACTCAACATAAGTGACGAATTGAAAAAAAAAAAAAGAAGAAAATACTAAGATTGGTTTTTGTCCCTCTTTCATTTAAAGCAATCAAGAGAAAATAATGACTAAAAGAAAAAAGTGGGGAAATTAGGGATATGGAATACACATATATTAATAATGTATTAATATACACATACCATATATATATATATATATATATATATATATATATATATATATATATATATATATATATATATGAATGAATAAAAGTTAGACCTGCGGAACCAAGGAATGTAGTTTGTCTGAGCACTTTCCATAGAAGTAGTGATAGAGCAGTGAAAGGCTCACCACATCCTGCCTGAGAGAGAGAGGTTGATGGGTGGAAAATAATTTGTTACCAACTCACAGACAATTTTGAACTCTATTAAGACTGTATTACAAGCAATTTGTTGAACTACCTTCATCTACAGTCAGAAATATTTTAGCTTATTAAAAAATAAGAAAATTCTGTTAGACGCAAAGAGTGCTGAATTGCTATGTAATGTGGCAGTGAATACAAAAGAATTTCCTCACAGATGAAGCAATAGAGATGTGGTTCTACAGAAAAGGTGCTGAGAGTACCATGGTTGAAATATGTGAGCAATGAGGAAGTTTCAAGGAAAATAAGTGTGCTTAGAATCAGAAAGAGACAATTGGAATTTCTGGGATACAGAATAAGGAAAGAATGCTTAGAGAATTTGACACTCACAGGATATATTGATGGCAAGAGGGACAGAGGGAAACAGCAAGTAAATTACCTACTGAGATTGTGTAAATGGATGGCAGGGCAGAGACTGGGAGGGATAGTAAAATGACAAACATTTCTTATATCTACAAAGGATAAGAAGTTGTGGAGAACCATGACTGCCCATGCTCTGAAGGGACACAGCATATAAAAGCAATAGAATAGTGACAATGAAAGTAGAAAGAAGAAAAACCTATTCAAAGACTTGTCAGCATATGCCATCATTACAATGAACATATTTATTTAATAGATCCTACTCATAGGTTACATAAACCAAGAGTAATTCATGAAAAATCAAATGTAAATATACTCCTCCTCCTCCTCCCCATGTTTGGTAACAGTCAATTAAGGAGACAACATTTGTTGTTGTGCAGTCAACATTTTAAGAGTCACAATCTTTTGAAAAGAGTCGTTAACATTAAAAGATTTGCTTAGACAATATTGAACTCATTCTTTGGGTTGCTAATCTTTGTCTTCACAACGATTCCATTCTATCCATGGATTGCATACCAGAAGGCAGGAGGAAAATGGGTTTTATGAGAATTTGCTCAGTACAGTGCCACCATCATGATCGGCACAAACAGTGTCACTATCATCATCAGGAACATGAAGGAGCTTAACTTTCAAAACCAAATTCAAAAATCAATTTAACTGGTTAATATTTTTTTTTCCCCAAATAATCAAATAATTATTATCATTTTATTTTGTATATATTTTGTAAAAAACAATGTTCCCCCAAATATTTTAGTCATCACCCTGAACACAATTTTTTTTCTGCTTTGGCAACACCGAAGACAGAAACATAATTTCCAGGTTTCTTCATTTAGATTTTTTACCATAAATATTTTCTGAAGATTAATAATACATAAATCAATATTTTTTATGTTTATTCAAGAAAAGGTAAAGCACATCATGTAAAAACATGTGATTATCACTTCATGTCAGTCATCCAAGAGAGTAATAATCAGAAGTGGCATATCAACTACTTATGGGTCATTTAATATATTCCAAAATTGTAATGCATATCTATTTATACATTTTATTTTTCATTTTAGTTCCCTAATTTAAAAATTAAAAAGGGGGTATTTTTGTTTCACAGCATATCAACTTCTATGGGTTATTTAATGCTGAAATGTTAATCTTTTGGACGCAATGTTATGGCTTCAACTGCATTGAACATAACTTTATACTAAAGGATAAATGCATGTTTTATAGATATATAGTTTTTAGATGATCTATTGTAGGTTTTATGACTTCGTTGGTTGTTCAGAAAGTTTATCCTGTCATTGAAGGTGACTCTGATCCTTGAACAATAGTGTGTTTGAATTTCATAGTTGTGTTGACATATCCTGCTATGGCAACAGAAAATAACATTGAGTGAAATTAACAATAAGGATACTACAACTGAGAGACCTTGAAAAAGAATGCATCGGAGAGGGAAGTAATATTAATAATGAAGAGGGCTAAAGGACATTACGCTGAAACGTTTCAGCATTTTCAAACACTTTTTTCATGTTGGTTTCTTTGTAGTATTTCTGTCTTACAGGGGCTAAGTGAGTCCATTCTGTTAAAATGTGTTTCACTGTGAGTGCAGCTTGGCATATTGTACATCATTCTTCAGCCAATATGAATGGATCACTAATTGGTTGCTTGGTTTTGTTAATTTTGTTTTTATAAACAATTGCATAATTCAAATAAGGTCATGATCACTGAATTTGGGGATCATGGCATTAAAATATTCAATATCTGTTCAACACAAGCTGTGAAGAATATATAAAGAAAAAAAAAGTGTTTACATCTTAAAAAAAAAAAAAAAGGAAAGCTACAAAATTACCTTGAGGTGCTTTAGGCGTGTGATGAAGTCAAGAATATGACCAATGTCTTTCTTTACATCACCACTATCTGGAAAAAGAAGAGTGAATCCTGAAATGACATTGAAAAATGGAGAGAAAGAAAATTATCATCTTTTTTTCTTAGAAACAGAATCAACAAAGTGCTTCAGGAGTATGAATGCAAAAGCAAAAGGATTGTGGATCTTGCTCAAGATCAAGCAGGACATGCGCCGAGTTACAGGAAGCAGATGACGATGCTGTTCAAGTTGTAATCAGCTGTTAAATGATCAGTCTGATACTAAAAAGAGGATTGTGTGCGGAACATTACTTAATGTCTACCAAGTAGAAGACTAAAGCAAAAAATGTGATGCTGTTACTTTGATTTTACAAGACTAGATACTAATTTAGAATGGTGGAATTTCAAGAGGATTTCAAGAAGTAAGCTTTACTGGCAACTGGAAAAGTTTAGGCCAGATTGTGAATATTCAAAATCAATTGTTGCTTATAGCAATTCATCCTTTTTTAGGGCAAAAGTGTGAAATATGAAGATGGAACTACTGGTCTTGTTGCCTTTTAGTTTAATATACTTAACTGGAATTGATATAATTATACACACTTTGGTATCCTTTAAAAATGGTTTTATTTAAAGAATGAAAAATTTAGCTTTATTCTATCATAAAAAGTTAGGACTACAGCTCATTAATATTTACTGATATGATGTATACTAAATGTGTATGAGTGCAAAAAAATTTGATTTTCTAATTAATTCATCTTTGGATGAACAGTATAATGGTGGGGGAGGCATCAAAATTCATTGTCTTGATAAAAATACTTTTAACAAAATCACTGTCAAGACATAAAAAATAATTATGATAGAGTAATGCAATAGACACAGCACTCTGAAAATTTTCCAATTTTTTTTTTTTTTTTTTCATATTAGGATAGATTCATAGATTAAGCACTACAAAACCACAAACATGATTTTTTTTTAATTAAATCTTGTAAAAAATCAAATGGGTGTCCAGTTTGCTAAATAAGCTCATTGTAAATTGATCCCTCTATGTTAGTGAAAATAAAAATATCCACATACTACATGATTTCATAAAAATTAAAAAATAATTTTTTTTTAAAATCTGAATTTGAAGTGCTTAATTGACAGTAATGCATGAAAGAAATACTCTAGATTATGAATTTCAAAAATTTTAAAAGTTCTTAAATTTTAAGAGAGCTTATGATATAAACATCTTTTGTTTTGGCTTCCATAGGGGTATCAATTTACAGCGAATTTACATCACAAACTGGACTTGTCTCCGATTAACTTCTATAATATTTAATAAAATATTCTTTTTAATAGATACTGGTTTGTTTGTTTAGTGGCATATCAACTCCTTATGGGTCATTTAATGCTGAAATTGGCTTTTCTTGAGAGCATTAGTAATTTCTTTTACAAAAATGTATTGCTGATAATATTTTTTTACTAAGAAAATGTAATTTTTGGCTTTTGTTTGACATAAGTTAAAAACCCTTTGAGACAGATTCACAAACACGTCATTTTGATGTCAAACTTATTTGTTTTATAAAACACATCCTGATGAAGCAAACAAAATCTACAAAATATATTTACTAGCGATTTTAAGTTTAGTCAGCATAATTATTCAGGTTTCTTTTCATTCATGTAAACTAATTAAAGGTGTTCTGTTCATCCATCCTTGAGTTAAAATGATTTTGAGGACTGATCAAATGATGTCCGTTAAGTGCAGCAGATAAATCTAAGCAGATGTTAAGCAGTGAGTCTGTGGATAGAGTAACAAAATAACAAGAGAAATAAATAAATAAAATCAGCTCAACAACAACAACGACAACACAATGTTTATTAACATGCATGCAGTCTTTATACACAGAAAATTATTTCCAATTTTTTTTTTTTTTGTAAATTTATGTAGTTATCATCAAAATAGAAATATTTAGCATTTTATCATCAACCAGTTTTACTCATGCCATCAAAAATGAGAGCCTATTTTGTTAAGTTCTTACTATTCTTAGATTATTTTATCAAAATTACCATTGTCATAGAATTGATCTTTTCAGTTTGTGGCTTTACTGGAACAGTTTGATATTAACTCCACTACAGCAGAAAATTACAAATTTCATAAGAACCCCCCCGCAAAAGAAAAAAAGCCCAAAACACTTGGTATTATTCAGATAGGTATAGAGAGAGATTTCAAGCTTAACTTTTGAGTCAGTCCAAATTCTTATTAAATCTAATACTAAATCTAACAAAGAGGTTGGAAGGTGTTTAAAAAAAAGCTAAAAGTAATGTTCCTCCTACATATGCTAAAACTTCCTGTTTTAATCAATTCCATTTCAAAGAAAAGAAAAAAAAGAAACTAACGATGAGGTTATGAAAAGTTTCATTCTTCAGTTAGAGCCATTTTGTGTTTTTCTATCACAGGTTTGCTAAACAAAATACTGCTCCCACATAAAAGTACCAAAATTTAATTTCTGATGTTGATCTGGGTCATTAAAATGTTAGTTGTAAATCATCTGGATTAATTAGTCAGATCGCTAAAGAGACTAATGATGTTTATTCAGTAAATTAAAAAGAATTATCCAAATACTAACCACAGGTAGGTTCAGGAAGTTTCAATCTTTCTGTCAGAGCATAAAGGTGAAGAGTTGTCATTTGGAATGGTTCTTTAGCTTGAAGAATCAATTCACCTGAAAGCGTAAATAGAAGAAGAAATCCATGAACAATAATAAAAAATAATTAATAATACAATAAATATAGTTAGAATTAGAATGAATAAATTTCCATCCACAGGAAATTGGAAATCAAACACTATTTTATGGCATCATAGTAACTTTCCTACAGTCATGTAATAGGCAATTAATTTTTATATATTTATATTATATATATAAACATATATGTTAAATGTAACAGACAATGAATGTCTGTTACGTTTGACCAGGAGTCTAAAGCATAGCTCATGGAACAGCATAATAAAAAAATATCCAAATATTGGACAGTTTTTGCCATTATTTTCTCCAAAATTTAAAGCAACTATACAAAGCTTAGAACGGCTCAGGATCAAACATAACAGACATTCGTTGTCTATTATATTTAACAATATATGTTTGAATAATGATCTGCTGCTCCAATACACTAAATTCAAGATTTTATATATATATATATATATATATATATATATATATATATATATAAATTTTTAGCAATATTGAGGTTAATTGATCTGTTCATAAAAAAATAGGGGAAAAACTGTGGTGGAGTGGAATAATTTTGATAAATTAGCATTCATTAGACCTTCCTCTACCAAATGGCATTTGTCAGAAATGAAAAAATATAATTTTTTTTTTAATCATTTTATAAGAGCTACTGTTCATAATATAAATAGTGCCAAATCAATCCATGACTTTTTACAGATTTATCTGTACTTTGTTTTTATTTACAAGCATCAAGTTTGAAATTGTGCTTACATCATTAAAAACTGCAGATGCTATCCTTTTTACCAATTTGGTATTTTTTTTCATTTTCTAGGTCATTTTTATTTTTTTAAATTTCAAAAAATTTCTAGGTTTATTATTTTCTTTTCTTAGGCACTTGCACAAACATGTCCGGGGGGGGGATAATAATTATTTATATGAAATAAATCCTACTATGAAGGATAAGTTTCTTGCTTTTCCAATTCTACAAGCTGGATCAACTTGTACCTGGCTTATCCTTATATACACCTTCCAGCTGCCGGAATGGAAGATGCTTATTGGCTTTATTTTTTTGTTTTATTGTCAGAAGTGTATCCACAGACCTGTCACCCACAAGGTCCAGTGACATCATCAATACTAAATAACCATCGTTCATGAACAGAATAGCCTCTATATTTTCTTTTGGCAATAATGGATTCATCTATCTGAATCCCTATCCCAGGTAACTCCAAATTGAATGGAGCTGTTAATTAGCATTGCAGAGTGTACACTTATCTCGGGTAATTAAATTACTATATGAGACAGGATTCAGAAATATCCATGATCACCATGATTCAGATCTTTAAATGGGATTCACATGCCCAGAGATATGTTAATAAAGTCACTGAAGGAAACTCTACATTTCTCCAAAATACTACACTGGAGATATTTTTTCCCTTTGTTTTCAGGGTCATGCCATAAACATGTTTTCTCCATCTGCATGCTTCACCTCCCTCATCTTACTATTGTAATTTGATAAAAGTACATTTGTGGATATCAATTCATAATATTCTTTTCTCTTGAAGAAATTCTATTGGGCTACAATGAATTTCAATTATATCAAATAATTTAATTTTTCCCAAAATGTTGCAACAAAAATTGAGTTTTTTAGAGTTTTTTTTTTTAAATCTTCATCCATTTCCAAAGAACATTTAATTTAAATAAATTAAGAAATAACCTATAAATGTAGATATATCCGTTTGTTCTTCATTTAAGATAAATAATTATTATCCTCCTGTGACACTATTTAGCTATGGTAAATTAAAAATAGAAAATACTTAAGGTGAGAAAGAGCTATATCGAAAGATAGACTGAACGACATTAAAAAGAAGAATTTATTTTATTTACAAAAAAAAGATACTTTTTGCAAAAGACAGAAAATCTGTAAGAAAAAGCGAGACTGATTCTGTCAAAATCAATTAATGTCATAAGAGAGTGACGCACCAAACGAAACAGAATTCTGAAAGAAAAACAAAGCCAACCAATGCATGCGACCATAAAAACATTTCAGCTGGAGACCACCACAGAGAATAGATATTAATTATCTTTCAGAGATACCATTTAACTTTAATTTCTGGTTCCAGCAAAGGAAGCCATCTGGTATATGCACAAATCTTGGCATGAGAAAGAAAATCAAAAAGGGAATCATTATTATTGCTTATTCAAACTGTTGACGTCAGACATAGTGTCTCGAAAATAAGCATCTGGTGATAAGAGAATTTTAAGGCATGAGAAAAATAAAGAATTTGACCACCCAGTTAAAAGTTGACTAGCGGAGAAGCTAGGTGTCGGGTTTGACAATAATTAATGAGTTGGTAGAGGTCCGGACACAGCCGGGATGTGATAAGAGTTGGCAATCTGGGATTTGTAAATGTTTTGGCCGAAGGAAAAGGAAAAGAAAAAAAGGATTTTGTAAACAAAATTCTGGAATAATTCTAAGAGGGCCAGTCTAACCACACCCACACTGCCGAGAGATCATTGGTCAAGTGGTAACATGGGTCATAGGCGGAGGTGAATGTATGAAAAAGAACACCGGGTGTTGGTTGGTGCCCATATAAACGAATGTCTCGAGGCAGCTGGTCAGAGTTCGAAGTTGCAGTCAGTTCCAGAAGTTGACCAAAATATTTCCACGTCCTTCTGACTTAGTCTTCCTACCAAAAGCAAGTTTTAATTGATGAACGACTTAAGATACCATAACTTGCTTAAGAAACGCAAAAAGTATCACAACTCCATAGAAACGGGCCAGGAGAGAAACACTCCTGTATTCAACAGATAGATAAAGTTAATCGTTATTTCTCAACATATTTGAACCTTGTGAGTTTGTTTTATTATTTTCTTTTACTTACACTTGTGCGGTATCATCTTTACCCCAGATTCAGCTTTTTTTCTGACTGACGCCTGATTGATTTCATCTACCTAAGATCAAAGTCACAACGTGGGTAGGTTAGACTTGAGATCAAAGTAGTTACTTCAGTAACCAGACGTTGGAAGTGAGCTGGGAATGACAAGTTGGTATCAAACCGGGAACGACCAGATCAACCGGGACACAGGCTGGTGGCGGCAAGAACAAGTCAACCCCAAATGCTGGTGGAAGAAACCTTACAGCTTTGCGCCGCAACTGGGAGGTGACCATGGGCCAATGGCGCATGTCATATATTGATGTTGCGACCAGTGGACGTCACATATTGGTGCTGGTGGGTGTCACACCCCAATGTTTGTGCAAATGCCTCCATAATAAAGCCAAGGAAAATACACAAATTTCTATCAGGACAGGGTGGTAACGTCTGTTAGGGTCCCAGCTATGGACAAATAGTGACTCCAAACTCGTGTCAAAACCCTATGAAAGCATAAAAATATGCTCATATTGTCCTCGTTGTTATCACAATGTTTCAACTGTTGTGCCCTCCAGCCTTCCTCAGGTCTTTATCGATCTGGTTAAGCTACAGGGAATTCTGAACTGAAACCTTTATTTAATCTACAGAGGTAGAGAATGTTCCTGTTCCACTGCTCATATCTAGGGATATCATCTACTTCTTACTATGTCTATTACTATGTCCCCAAATTCACAAACTAAGACTTTAATCTGCTAGACCGTTGTCTCATAGGAAAATTTGCTGTAGTGTAAATAATAATTATAACAGCCTCCTCATCCCACTTTTTTGAAAAATATATTTAGTATTTTGTCTCATTCTCTTCAGCTGTCAAAGGTAACTTCATAATTCCATCCAAATGGAATTTTTTTTTTCTGAGCAAAAAACTGCTCAAGGTGCATTTTGTGGTTTCTCAGTTTTTTAATTTAAATTATTTTTTATGTGTCATGCCATGCCCCATCCCCCTTCAGGACACACCCAACCACAGCTCCCGAAACTTCCTGTCTGTTTTAGCTTTAAGCAATATTTAACTCTTTAACCTTACTTTTTGTCCCCACTCTACTATTCAGGTTATTCACTGTTTTCCTTCTACTGCTCCTACTGCCTTCAAATAGGTCTTGTTAGTGTTAAATTCTCCAAGCCCTCTTTCCTTATGATGCATCCCAGAAATTTCAAATGTTTCTTGATTTTAAGCATTCTTTTTGTTTCCATTTTGTTTACAAACTTCCTCACTGAAATTCAATTGCTGTTCAGTTCACAGTATTCTCACTATCCATCTGTTGAACCATGTGTCTGTTGTTTCAAGGCTCTTCATCACCTGTAAAGAAATTGTTTAACATTCATTTTCATATAGGAGGAGAGATATGACACAGTAGTTCAGTATGCTTTTCTTTGCTTCGAATTAAATTCTTGTATCTCTTAATATCTTGTCTAGTTTCTTACACTATTCCTAAGCATTTTTGAATTTCTCTCTCTCAATTTCCGCCATACCCTACACAAATAGTTAAATTTCTGTACCTGCATGACTCTGACATCTTCAATTGGGTCTGTCTCTTTTACTGACAACCATATATTCTTTCTTCATACAGTTAATAGTCCTTTCTTCTTGCTTTCTTTTGCTATCTTGTCTAAGAGTTTTTGAAATTTTCATTCCAAGTCCACAATTGCTTAGATACCAGAGAAAGATGCATGTTAGCATTATTCTGACAAAACATTACACCTTTACTCTTAACTAATTCTGAACATCTGTCTATATTTCTGAGATGAGGTATTATGTACAATATTTACATTATTCGGAAAGAAATATAAAGTGAAAGCAGGCCATCCCCTTAAGCCAAGGCTTCAAGAACACCAGAAAGCTGTAACACAAGGGGAAGTGTAAAAATCAGGCATGGCTGACCACATATGGAGAGAAAAGGGAGATCACCACCCTCAGTGGGATCAAGTTAAGATCATAGACAAAGAACATAATTGGAAAATTCGTAAACTTAAGGAATCAGCAAATATGCTAGGCCACAAAAATCTCCTGAGCCGACCAAACATAGAAATCAATACAATATGGGAACCAGTAATAAGGAGTGCCAGAGAAAAGTGATAACAAAAATTGCAATATGAGCTCTGGTAAAAAATGATTGCTGAAGACATTAGATTTGCAATACCCAGAAATTCATACACAGATGTCCTCAAGGACATATGGCAGTGGATAAAGGTGTTAGTTAGATCCAATGACAGGAATTAACAGGAGATAACTGACATCCATTAGACATGGCATGTGGAACTAGAACAATCTACCCCAGTGAGCAAAGTTCAGTTTGACATTCCAACCACCTGAAGAAGGCCTGAGCGCACAATGGCCGAAACATTGTGATAAACATGGCGACAAAGATGAGGACAATAATCCGAATGTAAATAGTGTAATTCTGAACAGTTTTTTTTTTTTTTTTCAATTATTTCCTTCATTTGACCCAATTAGAAGTTGAACTTGCCTGACTGAATTATTTGCTTGTCTCTATAAAGAGTTTACAGTAGAAGATTCCCTGGAAATCTCATTATATACAACATACATATCACCTTTTTTGGATGAAGAAACCAGTCTTATAATTCCTTACATTTTGTGTTGTTGTAAAGTAATTACTTTTTACTGATTATCTCAATTTGTTCAAGAAATGGAACATGAGCATGATGTTTTAGTGAATCACACAGAAATAGAGTCTATTAGGTTTTGTACACTTGTAAATGTCACACATTAAAGAGACTAATATAACCTTGCATAAGGTGCAAATGATATTTTAATGCTTGATTTGGTTTGGTTTGTTTTGTGGCATATCAACCTCAATGGGTCATTTAATACCAACAACTTTTTTTCTTTTTCTTGGTAATATTTTTGTTTTGTCCAAAATCCATTTCTGTTAATATTTTTTTCCTCAAAAATGTATAGCTGGTAATATTATTTTTTCAAAAACGTATAGCTGGCAATATTATTATTTTTTTTTTTTTTTAAACGTATTGCTGGTAATATTTTATAATGCTTTTTACCTCAGTTTTGGGGTTAACTATTTGCCCATAGCTGGGACCCTAAGAGGTGCTACCATCCTGGGTCAGGGTGGACCTGGGAACACAAGCAATTAAGAGGTGGTTCCACGCTCCTCAAAACCTCCTGATCAGAGGCCTTGCTGTTGGACGTAGTTTATCGTCTTACTCAGGACGTGGATGTAGTTTACCATCATACCCAGGACACAATGCTTGATTTGGATCCATCATATAACAAAGATTATTTTCAAATAATATCTTGATCACTATCAACCTCAATTTGTCTAGCCAAACATGTAGCATTGTTCAGAAAGATCAATGCTCTTGATACATTTCATTATTTTCAGTACTTTCTCTATCAGCTACATAAATATTGAATCAATAAATGAAAATATACCAATAATTTTTTAAAAGATGCTTGCTATTTTGCAGTCTTCATTCTGGATGTGTTGTGCATCTCTACAAAGCTGGAAACAATCAAAAACATCTTACCTTGTTTTACACTATCTACAATTATCAATGATTAACAAATATATTTCAATGATGTTAATCATAAAGATTTTTTTTTCTTAATTTAAAACATTTTTTAAAAAAAGCATAAAGATGAAGAAAACCTTAATATATTTGAAATGCCTTACCTCTGTTGTACAAATCTTCAGCAAGGGCTTGGGTAATTCCATGGATTTCCTAAAAAAAAAAAAGCAAAGCATAAGAATACTTAATCCAAACAGGTAAAAAGAAAACAAAACGTTTTTTTGCCATGTGAATCCCCTTCTTAACAGTGGTTGGAAATAACTCAAAATATTGTAAAATAAATACTTGCAATAATCCTAAAATTTTTAATCCTGAAAGTCACAACTTCACATCTACAAACAGTGGTTAGTAAAGAAACCAAATATTGTAAATTACATAAACTATGTTATATATATATATATATATATATATATATATATATATATAATAATGGACTCTCCCGTCAGTTTCGACGTATGAGGATCTGACAGCTTATTGATTCAGTTATGAAATTTTGTGCGATAATCTTAAGTGGCATTTAAGACCCGCTAGTGATTTACAAAGGAGACCACATATGGAGCAAGTGTGAGGATTGTGAGATGAGATCATTGTTAGATTGGCTGACCTTTTAGATCTTGCTCTCGCTTCTTGAAGATGATTCAGACAAGCAGATTGAAAATTGCTGAGTCCACTGAAACATGTTGATCTTCATTCTACTCACTCCAAGGCTAAGCACTCAAGGGTGTTATATGGTATATTGACTGCTGACAAGTTGCTTTTCAGCTTGTCTTTGTATCTTAGCCATGGGCATCCTACATTCCTGTAGCCCTGATCTAACTGGCTGTACATTAGGATCTTGGGTATCCTGTCATCAGACATTCTCAAGACATGTCCAGTCCACCGTAACTGAGACTGTATGATAAAAGTCTCGATTCCTCCAATATTACACCTGTTAAACAGGTCTACGTTAGATGTCCTATCTGGAAGCTTAACTCCACAGATTGCACACAGACAGCTTTTCTGGAAAACATCTAGCTGGCGTATATGGTACCTGTATGGAGTCCACGACTGAGCCATACAAAAGGATGGCAAGTACAACAGCTCTGTAAACCAGACTTTTCGTATCCATTCGAATACCCTGCTCATTCCACAAGCAATGGTGAAGTTTGCCGAAAGCACTGGTAGCCTTAGAAATCCAATGCATGATTTCATCATCTAAAGTTCCACTGTAATTGACTTTGCTACCAAGATAGGTGAAAGACTTTACATAGTTCAGGGGCTTGTCTTCTACTTTCAATGATATATGTGTGTGTGTGTGTGTATATATATATATATATATATATATATATATATATATATATATATATATATATATATATATATATATATATTCAAGTATAGGTGTATAAATAAATTCCAATAACCAACAAATACTATTCTTAAAAATGTGCTCAATACAGAATAGAGCAAATATAATTATTTATTCGAAAATTATAACATAAATGTTATAAAATCACTACAAAAATAGCTATTTTGTTTCAACACTTCTGGTGTCTTACAAAGTGTTGAAACAAAATGGCCATTTTTGTAGTGATTTTATAACATATTTATGTTATAATTTTCAAATATATATGTGTGTGTGTGTGTGTGTGTGTGTGTGTGTGTGTCTGAAAATTGCATTCAAGGATGAAACAGACTGTTACCACTTGGTGTTGACCCCAATGTCCACTTTTATATTTACATATGCTCTATTCCAGATACTGAAACACTTTGACCCCAAAATACCATAAAACTATATTTTTATCTAATATTTCATATTTTACTTGTATTTGTTTATCAATAAAATTATAAAATTCTGAGGAAAATTTAGCTAAAATTTCAAGACATTAAAATTATTGATACACAGAGGTTTAATGAACAAATAAAGTAGCAATTGCTTTTATAGCAAATCTATTGGTTTGTTTGCAATATAACACCTCTTTGGAGGAAAGTTTTCATAAAAACAGGAAAAATAAAATCAAAATGCTATTCAATAGATTTACTGGCAAATAGGGAAAAGATATGATAGAGAAAAACATTAAGATTATTAAAATTATTTTTGATAAAAATAATTTGAATGTCATACGTTGCCAAATTTAATCAATAATTAACAAATCTGCACCCCAGTAGTGTCAGTGTATCAAAATATCTTCAAGTACACACATGATAACAGCTAATGCTGGAAGTTAGTCATTAGAGATACTCCAACAATTCAAACGATGACTGCATCCATTAAAATAGAACAAGGTTAAAGGATGGGGGTGAGGTAGAAAAAAAAACAAAAAAAAACAATCCACTGTTCATACTAGTGGTAACAAGTGTGTTACTTTTAGAGATTGGTGAAAAATCAATACTGATCTATAATAAGAGAACAAATAGAGGTAAAGAGAGAAATGGAGAAAAAAAGAATCAGTAATGGTAGTCTTTCAAAGCTGTCAACACTTGGATTAAATCAAATTTATTATGTTACATAATATCATAAATGCATGACATTGGTGGCCTGAGTATAAATGGGTTGTTCAAACAAAATGATAGCAAAAGACTTAAGTCAGCCACTAAACACCACACAAATTAAACTAGATTTTCATAAGCTAGTAAGAAAAATATACTACATTATAAATAACTATCTGAAATTATCTGTCTATATTTCTGAGATGAGGCATTGTAACTATTTACACTATTTACATTGTTCAGACTGTTGTCCTCATCTTTATTGTCATATTCACAATGTTTGGGTCATTGTACACTCAGGCCTTCAGCAGGTGATATATGTTGGAACTTCAAATTGAACCCTTTATTTTGTCCACTGGGGTAGGTGAAGAAAAACTTGGAAAGTTAAATTACTAAAATGGAAATAACTGAAACTGAGATATCCAGACAAGGCATGACATGTGGAACTAGAACAATCTACTACAGTGTGCGAAATAAAATGTCTGGTTTGAAATTCCAATGTATATCAGCTGAAGGAGATTAGAGAGTTAAGGGCTGAAACAACTTGAATATGATAATAAAAATGAGGACAACAGTCTGAATAGTGTAAATATCTGAAATTATATATTTGTTATTTGAGAAAGAATAATCCAATCAAGCAAAGAAGAGAGAGATCAAAGAGCCCAAAATATTCTTAAAATGGAATTATCTCATTTAGTATTTACAGTGTTCATAGACAAAAATCTTGACCATCAGATGATTTTAAGACAAAAAAGATGAAGTAAAACAAATATGCTTGTAAGAAATGAACTGTGGGTAATAATTGTTAATATTTGGATGTTTATTCCTCTCATCATAAGAACTGCTTATTTAAACAATGCATCACGATTGCAATATGAGAAAATATGCTCCAATAGAAGAAAACATTCAATAGAATTACAAATCATGGATGGTATAATTGGTTCAATGATGAAAGAGGAGGAATGGTTTAAGTTAGGTAACTTGGCTCCAGCTTATGGAATTTGGGGTATTTCAATCTCTAATGTACATATACAAATGCATATACACACACACACACATAAGAGAAAAAAAAAAAACAATTTAACACCAAGAATAAGAACATCCCAACTAGCACATAAATTAATTATATCAAACTTAGTATAAAGATGACGAAAAAATAAAGAAAAACAACAGTCAGTTGTGGAAACCTCCTGAAGAATTAACTGAACAATTGCAAAAAAGTTCATCTATTTGATTGGTTGATTTTGTTTAGCACCATATCAACCTCTTTGGGTTATTTAATGCTGAAATCTAAATATTTTGAACAGTTTTATGGTTTTAACTAAAATGCAATTGTACGCCTTCAACTAAAGATAAAATGTATTGTAAATCATTTTGCTATAAAAAGTATTGTTGGTAATTCTACTATAAAATGTATTGTAAATCATTTTGCTATAAAAAGTATTGTTAGTAACTTTACTATAAATAGGTATTGTTGGCAATAAAAATGTATTGCAGGTGTTTTTCCTATAAAAATGTATTTTTAAACTTTCATAGGTTCTTGTTTTTGTTTGGGAGTTCACTATTTGCCTATAGCTGGGACCCTAACAGGTGCTACCACCACAGATCAGGGTGGACTTGGGAACAACAGCAATTAAGAGGTGGTTCCATACTCCTCAAAAATGAAACTTGAGAGTCAAGGCACTTAACATCAACCAGCTAAGTGACAAATATATATATATATATATATATATATATATATATATATATATATATATATATATATATATATATTTTCCTCTTAAGCTCATATGAAGCTGGATATATATATAAAAAAAAAAAAAAAAAGTATGTACATTTCAATTAACTTCCAACCAATACATTTATAATACCCTTGCTTTTCTTCTCTTAACTTTTCTTCTTCCTATCCTCCTCTTCCTCCCTTTCTATCACACCCAACATCATGTGTTTGTTTTAGTTCTTAAAAATAATATAGCATTCTTTAGTTTTTTTTTTTTTTTTTAAATGAAGTGTTGGGAAATTAATTGATAAAAATCACCTGAGGATACCATAAGGTCAAAGCCAAGGTAGCAGATTCAACTGATCTAATTTTAAAAGATCATATATATATATATATATATATATATATATATATATATATATATATATATATATATACCTGTTAAGATATTGAAGGTTTCAACAATGTTTGGATTCTGTGAGAGAGAGAGAGAGAAGGTTCCCAGGGTTAGACATCTTCTCATAGTGTCTACTCAATTAAGGAATCATTTTCTATTCAATAAGCATCAACATCTACCCTGGGTACCAGTTGTAGAGTAATATTTGGGAAACCATTGTTAAATGCTTGTAAATTTATGCAGGTTTTCATCACATGAGTAAAGGAAACTAAAAAGTACTACATTTTGTGCATTATAAAGCAACAGACATTACATTATATTATATTACTTCAAATGTTATTTTTAGTGGATACTCGTATTTGAGTAGACACACTGTTTCTTTTAAACAGTGTTTATTTTGTTTACCAGACTGCTTACTCGAGAAAATAAAGAAAATGTGCTCTCCATCAGGATTTGAGCCTGTTGTAAAAGAATTATGTCATAATGGATGCTACCTGCCTTACTCATAATTATAATGGATGGTGAAAAAAACAGGGAATTGTGGGTAGAAAAGTGGTTATATGAGTC